TAGTACTTAAACTCCTGCAATCTAATAAAAGCTGCAACTCAATAGAAAAATGGACAAAGGTACAGGACAGGCAGTTAACAGGAAAGGAAATACAAATAGTGCTTAAATCTATGAAAAGGCGCTAGATCTCACTCAGAATAAGAGAGATCCAAATTAATGTTAGTGTGAAGACAATTTTTCATTTATGTATTTGAGAAAAATCTAAGAGCTTGATGATACGTCTGTAATTTTGGTTTCTGGGGAGAACCACACATTGCAGGTATTTATGTAAATTGGTACAGCCCCAAGGGCAGGCAGCGTAGCTGTTTCTATCCAAGTTACAGATGCATAGCCCCAATGCCAGGTCTCTGCTGTGTGCCCCTGCAGACCCCACTCTCCCTTCCCCTCCACACCCGTTACCCTGGGATCTTGTCTTGTACAGGTACAGCCCCAGACCCCTGCCCTGTGGCTTCTGGTTGGGTCCAGCCAGTCAGGAGCCCCACATGAGAGAAAGGAAGGAGGTAGTCAGGGATATCTGTTCTTTAGCCCCCTCCCAGCATGGTGCCTTTGGGCTGACTATGTCCTGTGGACTCATGTCACGGCTCCTCACCCAGGATTCTCTTGTACAAATTCTAGTATTGGTGCCTTCTCTTTTCCCCTCAAGCCCAGAGTGGTAGGTAACAGCCCCCACTATTGTGAGCTCAAGGTACTACACCTCCCTTTTGGTTTGCCTACAGCCTGCTCACACATTTGCATTATAAATATACAGTCATGCACCACAAAGCAATGTTTTGGGCAAGGATGGACCACATATGCAGCAAGAGTCACTTAAGATTATAATAGCATATTTTTACTGTACCCTTTCGTTTGGATACACAAATACTTACCATTGTGTTCCAATTGCCTACAATACTCCATACAGTAACAAGTTGTACAGGTGTGTAGCCTAGGAGCAGCAGGCTATAATGTAGCCTAGGTGTGTAGTAGGCTATACCATCCAGGTTTATGTAAGTACACTCTACGAGGTTTGCACAATGATGAAATTGCCTAACCACGCATTTCTCCCAAGTTTTCCTGTTGTTAAGTGACTGTGACGGTAGTCCTTCAACTACAGTCTATAGTAACTTGAATGTGCTGTTTCCTGCTGGAACCCTAACTGATATGCCCTTTGTCTGGCAATCCTGCTTGTGGAAATTTTTCTACACGAGGACTTGCACGTGTGTAAAATGATTCATATTTAAGAGAATTCCTTGCAGAAAAAATTGGAAACAATTCAAATGTCCATCGTAGGGGACTAGTTATATAAATGAGGGTATGTCCACAGAGTAGAACACTATGCAACTGTTTAAAAAACAGAAACAAAGAAATTCTTTTTGTTGGAACGATCTCCCAGGTATATTTTTAAGTGGAAAAATCAAGGCAAAACAGGGACTGGATATGCTACCTCTTGTATAAGAGAGAGGAAAATTAAGACTACATATATATTTTTGCTTATGCAAAAAGACAATCTGAAGGATTTGCAAAAAAAAAAAACCCACAAAAAACAAAAACCAAATAAAAGTCATTTTCTAAAGGGAGCAAGACTTTTCACTATTTATTGTATGTTTAAAATTTTTGAACCAAATGATGGTTACCTGTTCAAAAGTTAAATTTAAAATTTCTCCCTGACTAGGGAGGGATTTGGACCCAGAAGCTGAGACAAGACTGCTTAAATAAATGAGATAAATGGTCCTGGAGGCAAGAATTTTGCTATTTCTGCTGGTCTTTCATTGTCTTAACTTTTCCCCGATTTTGATCTTTGCAATTTAATTAGACACTTCAGAATTTTGATCACTTCGTGTTGATTTCTTTTCAGATGTAAAAGTAAAGAAAGGACTTAAAAAATAACAAAGATGCTTTTGAGCCAGAATGCCTCGGCCATCAGATCACTTAATTTGATTCTCATGGGTAAGTGCTACTTTTTGTCTTTGCTCTTGCGGGAGCAAGCCTGTGACGTCATCATCACCCAGAGCCCTGCTGGGAAACAGCAAACCGATTTCCCTGACTCAAGGACCCAGTATCAGCTGCCCTATGTCAGGAGTTAAATGGAAAGTAGATAGGAAACCTGTGCTAGTGGTTTGGATGCAATATGGATTTCTGCCCTACTGTTAATTTTAGGAAAACAAATAAACAAGAACGACGTAAGGCTCAATAATGATAGGGACTATCTTGTACATAATTTGAAGAATGATTTCTCTTCACGCCCTTTCTGCCTCCCTCACCTTTGGTAATGTCTTTACCTTTAAAGTTTATTAATTAGCAACATGCTTATCCATATTCTGAGAATTTTTCTGGATGGGTAAATGCTTCTCCGGACACTCTTTCAACCCGCCCAACTACTTAAAAAACAAAAACAAGGAAATTCTTTTTGGTATGAAGATCTCCCAAATATGTATTTTTTTTCTTTTTTTTTTGTAAATTTCAAAATATTAATTAAGGAGAACAAATGTTTTTATTACATGGATAACTTATATAATGCTTAAGTCAGGGCTTTTGGTGTACCTGTCACCAGAATAGTGTTCATTGTACCCAAAAGGTAAGTTTTTATCCCACACCCACCCATCTGCCCTCCCCTCTTCTTGATTTCTCATGTCCTTTGTATCGCTTTGTGCTGTGTATACCCATCTATTAGCTCCCACTTATAGTGAACATATGGTGAACATATGGTGTTTAGTTTTCCATTCCTGAGATACTTCACCTAGGATAATCGTCTCCAATTCCATCCACGTTGCTGCAAATGACATTATTTCATTCCTTTTTATGACCGAGTAGTACTCCATAGTGTGCGTGCACACGCACGTATGTATATATGTTAATATGTATATATATATCTCATATTTTCTTTATCCACTCATGAATTGAAGAACACTTAGGTTGATTCCACATCTTTGCAATTGTAAATTGTGCTGTGATAAACATTTGAGTGCAGATGTCTTTTTGATTAAATGACTTATTTTCCTTTCAGTAGATACCCAGCAGTGGGATTGCTGGATCAAATGGCAGATCTGCATTTATTTCTTTGAGGAATCTAAATACTGTTTTCCCTTGAGGTTGTACTAATTTACAGTCCAATCAACAGTGTATAAACATTCCTTTCTCTGTGCATCCACACCAGCGTCTATTGTTTTTTGACTTTTTAATAATGGCCATTCTGATAGAGATAGAGTGGAATCTTATTGTAGTTTTAATATGCATTTCCCTGATGATTAGTGATGTTGAGCATTTTTTCATATGTTTGCTGGCCATTTAACTATCTTCTTTTGAAAAACTTATGCTCATGTCTTTTGCCCACTTTCTGATGGAGTTGTTTGGTTTTTTTCTTGCTGATTTGTTTGAGTTCTTTGTAGATTCTGGATATCAGTCATTTGTTGGATGCATAGTTTGTGAATATTTTCTTCCATTCTGTAGGTTGTCTATTCACTCTGTTGATTATTTCCTTTGCTATGCAGAGGCTTTTTAATTTAATTAAATCCCATTTGTTTATTTTTGTCATTGCTGTATTTGCCTTTGGGATTTTAGTCATAAATTCTTTGCCTAGGCCCACGTCAAGAAGAGTTTTTCCTACATTTTCTTCTACACTTTTTATGGTTTAATGCCTTACATTTAAGTCTTTAATCCATCTTGAATTAATTTTTGTATACGGTGGGAGATAGGGGTCCTGTTTCATTCTTCTGCACGTGGCAATCCACTTTGCCCAGCACCATTTATTGAATAGGGCTTCCTTTCTCCAGTATATATTGTCTGCTTTGTTGAAGATCAGTTGGTTGTAGGTAGATGGTTTTATTTCTGGGTTCTCTATTCTGTTCCATTGGTCTGTGTCTATACTTTTATACCAGTACCATGCTGTTTTGGTTACTATACCCTTGTAGTATAATTCGAAGCCATGTAATGTGATACTTCCAGATTTGTTCTTTTTACTTAAGATTTGGTTATTTGGGGTCTTTTTTGGTTCCTAATGGAGCTTAGGATTATTTTTTCTAGATTTGTGAAATATGACACTGGTATTTTGATGGGGATTGTATTGAATCTGTAAATCACTTTGGGCAGTATGGACATTTTTTTTTCAATTTTTTTATTTTATTTATTTATTTATTTATTTATTTTTGAGACAGAGTCTCACTCTCTTGCCCAGGCTAGAGTGCCATGGCATCAGCCTAGCTCACAGCAACCTCAAACTCTTGGGCTCAGGTGATCCTCCTGCCTCAGCCTCCCAGGTAGCTGGGACTACAGGCATGCACCACTATGCCCGGCTAGTTTTTTCTATTTTTAGTTGTTTGGCTAATTTCTTTCTATTTTTAGTAGAATCGGGGTCTCGCTCTTGCTCAGGCTGGTCACGAACTCCTGAGCTGAAGCAATCCTCCCGCCTCGGCCTCCCAGAGTGCTAGGATTACAGGCATGAGCCACCACGCCCGGCCAGTATGGACATTTTAATGATGTTGATTCTACTAATCCAGGAGCAGGGGATGTTTTTCCATTTGTTTGTGTCATCTGTGATTTCTTTCATCAGTGTTTTGTAGTTCTCCTCATAGAGGTCTTTAACCTCTTTTGTTAAGAGTTTTTCTAGGTATTTTATTTTCTTTGTAGCTATTGTGAATGGCATTGAGTCCTTGATTTGATTCTCCACTTGACTGTTGTTAGTATATAGTAATGCTACTGATTTGTGTACATTGATTTTGTAGCATGAGACTTTGCTAAATTTATTTATCAATTCCAAGTATCTTTTGGTAGAGTCTTTAGGGTTTTCTAGATATACGATCATATCATCAGCAAACAGAGATAATTTGACCTCCTCTTTCCTAATTTGGATTCCTTTTATTTCTTTCTCTTGCCTGATTGCTCTGGCTAGAACTTTTAATACTACGTTGAATAGAAGTGGTGACAGTGGGCACCCTTGTCTTTTTCCAGCTCTTAGGGAGAATGTTTTCAACTTCTCCCCATTCAGTATGATGTTGGCTGTGGGTTTGTCATATATAATTTATGGTATATAGCTTTTATAATTTTAAAGTATTTTCCTTCTACGCCTCATTGGTTGAGGGTTTTTATCCTAAAAGCGTGCTGGGTTTTATCGAATGCTTTTTCTACACCTATTGAAATGATCATGTTCCCAGATATATTTTAAGTGGAAATAACAGGGTAGAACAGGGTCTGTACATGCTTATTGTTGGTGCCAGCTCCAAAATGGACCTTATTTTGGATCTACTTAGGACATAATCCTTAGACCATGTGCTGCTGGTACTCCTGTTAAGTAAGAACCATTTATCTGAGTTTTTTTTTTTTACACAAGAAAGTCTCAATCCAATATTAATGTGTGTGTGTGTGTGTGTGTGTGTGTGTGTGTGTGTGTGTGTAAGAGAATCCCAGACTTAGAGTAACAATTGTTTAACTTGAGCCCAGAGAAAACTTTGTTGCTACTCTAACATGTTTTTCTTCCTCCTAGTGTTCATCAGCCTAGTATTTGGTGTTTTACGTGATTTGCCTGGTAAGAGATTTTCTTGGCTTGACTAAATTTTGTGTAAGGGTCAAAGTGTTGGGGCAACCATTCATAAGTGTAAAATATGAGAAATTTGATGTCTGACCTCAGATCTGTTGCCTATTTTATTGAGATCTTTTCTCTGTAACAGGAGCTAAAATGAGCCTACTCAGGTTTTCATATTGTCTCACAAAACTACTATAAGAAATTAGCACTAGAGGTCATTTTAAACACCATTGAAAGAACATTCAAACTCTTAATAATGAGGAGACACAGATTACGCCAAACAAAAAAAGATCCAGAAATAATTTCTCTTTAATTTACATTCTTCTACCTATTGATTCTGGATAAAGGGAAATCATTTTTTTAACTAAACTTCTTGCCTGCATATATAAATCTGTCCACAAAATTTCACTAAGCATTAAATATGTGTCTGGCCTTGGGGGCTAAAGAGTTGGCAATCAAAAAGCAAAGGCCTTTCTGTCCCAACTAACATCTGGATTAAACAATACCCAGAACTCTGGAACAAAATGGGTCCCAATGATCAATACAAGTTCTACTTAGTGAATATGGATTATAGCAAACTGAAGAAAGAAGGTCCAGACTTCTAAACAAAAAGTTTCACTATAAAACTGCTTATAAGGAAGGTCTTCCAGAAACCATCTGCACAATTTTCTGCTTAACCAGGAAATATTTCTTCTCTAAATGCATGAAATCATATTGATGTGTTGGGGATTACACTGACTAAGAAATATCTGAAAATTGGGGGGGAAAAAAAAAGAAGCAAAGGCCTGTTACCTAACCGCAGGAAACTTAGATGACCTTTAAAAATGTAACCATATAAGGCAGGATTTGACAAGTGTAGCTTTGAGTCTCGTTTGCCACTGCCACTTCCCAGCTGCATAACATTGTGTAACCCAACTCGATTTCACGGTCTGTAAAATGGGTCTATTAATAGTGCCTACTTCAGCATTGTTGTGGGGCTTAAATGCCTGGAAAGGGCCTGTCTGGGCACACATTAAACCCTCCTCCACTCTGTGATGCGGTAACAAATGCAGTAGGGAATCCAGAGGAAGAAAATCTTGCAGTGGTCGAGCTGCTTAAGAAGGACTTCGTGAAGCAGCTGGGAGCCGGGTTGAAAGAACTGGGTGTGGAGGGAAAGGGGAAGTGCACCATGTGGGTCAGGGTGGCCTGGGTTATTTTGGTTCAGTGAACCACAGAGGGAGAGTCAATGATAATCGAAGAAGCCCTTCTGTCCAAATTCTGTTTACACAGTGCTGAGTTCCTGTTTCCCAAGCTTGCCTGCCCTGACAATGTGTTGCTTATTAATTAACTGTATTATTAATAGTTCATTTCCCATGTCCAGCAGACTTCCTGTTTCTGAGACTCAAGGGCTCTCCAGAGGGCTTCTCTGCTGGAGATGTGAGCCCTAGATCCCAACAGATGATTGAACAGTGGCCAGAATACAACCTTGGGCTTTATGTTTTAATGTGTTTTCTTCCCTTCTCTTCTCTTTAGATTCTTCAAATGAACCTTGCGTTTTAAAAATAACATTACAAAATTTCCGATCAATCTTATCATGGGAATTTAAAAACCATTCTGTTGTACCAACTCACTATACATCACTGTACACAGTCATGAGGTTGGTTTGACATTTCATTTTTCTGTTGGTAAACATATTATCATTCTATTATGTGGGGAGTGGGGGAAGAGGTGATCTCTCTCTCTCTCTGTCTCTGTCTCTGTTCTTTATTTAGAGTCTTAAAAGGCCAAAGACAAAACAACCATCCATTTTTAATTAAATTGAATGTTTTAATAATCCAGAGTTCTTTTTGACAAAGCTTGTCTTTATAATCAAAGCCAATTCCTACAGGTCAAAACCTCACAAACAAAATAATTATTGTGTATGATTTTTGCAATGATTTTCCTAATTCAGTCAATCCCAATGTTTAAAAATCCTATGTTTTCTGAGAACCGGAGTATAAAGGTCTATTGACCATATTGATTGTTTATGTTTACTTTTCTTTGCTCGGTAGGACACCAGAAAGCTGTCTGTCCCAGTCTAGGACAGGCCTGGGTCCAAAGTCTGGTTTGGTCACTCATCAGCCTGCCATCTGGCCCAGAGCTCAGCCTGTTGAGCTAATGCCTCCACTGAGGGATTGTTGCAAGTACTGGGCATAATCCAGTGGTGGATCCTTCTTTAGCTCTCTTCTTCCACGTCTGACAGTCACTCTCCTGAGTCATTGCTTTGATCCAGTAGCCCCTCGGAGTGTCCTTTTATTGGTTATTTATTTAGCGTATAGCTGTTGCTGCTGCTGCTGCTGCCTGAGCCAGGGGAGGGTCTTTTGTGGGTTTCTCTTCAGTGCCTACTATAAAGTCTTAAAGTTTCACTCTGCTTTGAGTGATCACATGTATCACCCACCCAGCTTTCTGAAGCTCAGTAGATCTGATGTCTACCCAGGACTGACTTAGGACTGGATCGTGTAATCTCAGCCAGAGAGAGAGTGGGTCTCAGGGAAGGCATTCATGATCGTTCTATAGGGGGAGGGAGCTCTGAGGCCTCTACCATGAAAGCCCAAGTTTCATTCATTCATTCATCCAGAAAATATTTACTGAACTCCTCCTGCATGCCAGGGCATCCAACTGTGAACTGAAATCCCTGCCCTTCTGGAGTGGACATCCTGAAAGTAGGTAGAGACATCAGTAACAAATGAAGGCATATTGTGGCAGGTGCAGGTAAACGCTGTGAAGAAAAATGAAGGGTAAGAGGGATTGAGAGTGCAGGGGCGGGGAGGGTATAAGATGTCCCATTTTAAATAAGGTGGTTAAGGAAGATGATTTGATATAGTGATATTTTAGCAGAACCCTAAAGGAAATGAGGAAGTGAGGCACCCAGAAAACTGATTCCCATTACATAGATGCTGACATTTTCCTTTTTCGACGTCTTTTCTTTCCAAAGTAGAAAAGAAGCTTTGAAGACTGTTGAGGGCTGTGTAAATACCACGAGATCATTTTGTGACCTAACACGTGTGTGGAAAAACATACATGAGATCTACATTATAACAGTAGAAGGATTCAGAGGGAACACGTTGCTGGTCCATTGTACGAAGACTTTCTTGCCGGCCATGGATAGTGAGTTGATCTCTGTTTCTCAGCTTCATCCTTATTGTCAAGATCATCATTTGCTCTGCCATGAGATAGGAAGGTGTGCAAAGGTGTCTGAGACTCAGGGCTAGCTAGGCTCACCTCCTGGCCCTGCCACTTCCTAGTCCTGGAACCATGGACTAGTTACTTTGCTTCTCTAAGCCTCAGTTTTTTATCTGAAAAGTGGAACAATAATCTATACTTTGCAGATTCGCTCAATGCCTATATAAGGCAGGCATTCAGACAGTCATAGCTGCTATTTTTCTGTTTTGCACCCCAAAAGGAAGTGGGGAGCTGGGTTTAGGTGTCTTTAGCTAAGCTGTCCCATCTCTTTGGGTAGGTGTTTTTCTTAATACAGCAATTCCACCCCCAGATGGTAGCACAGTAGCTCTTGTACATGTGAACACCCACATGTACAGGCACCTAGGGCCCAAAGCTCGGAAGAGAAGATCAGACCCCAAGAGTGGGTCTGCCCCTTCTTTCTTTCCCTGTGACCGGAGTCAGCTCCCAAGGCCGTTGTATTAACAGCTCTAGCCCCATTACTTTTTCAGTTTCCCAGTTCACAACCAGTTTCCAGGAGATCCATTCAGGTTGAGCTCCCTGTATGGCTGTGTAGGTGTTTGCACGCACACACACACATACACACACACACACACACACTTAGCAAAGTGGTGATGATGACTGAATCCTACTGTGGCAAACAATTTGGATATAAGTGTTGCCAGAATCCTGTGCATGTTTGTGTATGTGTATGAACAGACATATCTGTGTGTATACATAGAAAAGAAAGAAAAGCACAATATATAGGTCATGGTAATTGGGTCATTAAACAATCTATATTAATGTAATGACGAGATATTTTTCATGACTCAAATGATAAATATGAAAAATGCATAAATACCCAGATTTAAAGGGAATACAGAGAACATGCTTTGGGTCATTCCTTGTGAAGCTATTTGACAGTTTGTATTAAAAACCTGAACATAGGCCTACTCTAATCCAGAATTCCTTTGTAGTAATTTGTCCTAAAGAAATTATTAAGGACAAATGGAAAGATTTAGCTACAAGAACACTCAATGATACATTGAGTCTTTTCAGAAAAATTAGAGACAATTAACTGTTCAAAACAGTGAATCAGTTAAACCTTGATACAGCCACTTAGTGGAATAGAATTAGCCTTGAAAAATTATGATGTAAATCAGAAGTTGGCAGACTTTCTATAAAGGGCCAGAGAAGAAACACTTTTAGACTTTGTGGGCCACCTGTGATCTCTGCCATATATTCCTCTTCATTTTTTTTAAACCCTTAAAAACATAAAAACCATTCTGAACTTGCAGGCAATGCAAAAGTCCACAGACCATGGGCCATAGTTTACCAGCCCTTGATGTAGCTAGATCTGTATTGATATGTATATGAAATATAGTTAAGTGAAAATATATACCATGCAAAACACTGTGGGTTAGACTGACTTAATTTTAGTATATATATATATGTGTGCGTGTGTGTGTGTATGTGTATATATATATGTATATGTGTGTGTATACATATATTAACACAAGTTTAGTTTATGTATGTGTATATGTATATATTTATACACATACAGCATAGATAAAATATAATTAACCACATTCAGAGACAATTGTCTGTATTTTCTGATATTTCTACAATGATTATGTATTATTATTGTAATATGAAAATAAGTCACTTTTAGTTTTGTATTAAGCATACAGCCTGAAAATTGGGAAAGTTACTGGCTTCTGTTCCAAAATCTATTCTTGTTTTCCTGTAGTACCGTGAACCAAATCACTTCACTTATATTATTCTCAGTTTTTCACCAACAAAATGAAAATAACACATGCTACAACTAGGAGCATAGGCAGATTAAAAAGAAAATAGCTTTTCTTTAAAAGAAATAAGGTTGTATCATAACAGGAGGCATTGTTATGCAATCATTGACTGACCCTGGGGTTTGTGTCTGACTTTGTTTTTCTAAACAGTATCTTCTGAACCACCAGAGTTTGAGATTGTTGGTTTTACAGACCGCATCAATGTGACGGTAAAATTTCCATCCAACATTGAGGAAGGATTGCAGTTTGATTTACCACTCGTCATCGAAGAGGAGTCAGAGGGGATTGTTAAGAAGGTAAGTTGTCGCTAGTGTTAGGATCAAAACAGTTCCTAGTTGACAACAAACACAGTTGACTCTCTTTTGAAAAAGGAAATTCGTAATCGAACAATTAAAACTACAAGGTCTGATTTTAGGACAGAAGTCTCTGTGGTTCATTCGGTCTTCTTTAAGAGAATAATCCACGTATACATCATCAAGGGACACACACAAGAGAGAGATGTGTAGCATAGATTCAGCAAGCCAGGGTGAGATTTCTTTGAAAAGCGTGGTTTAGCTGAGCCATACAGGAAAAGCATCTGTCTCTGCCTCTCCTGCCATCATACACAGTCAGGGAAGTGGCACTTTCCAAAAGTTCTAGCCTCTGCTGATTTCCGCAAAGGACCTAACTGACTATCAGTAACCTCAGGGTAACGCTGGTGTCAGACAGACCTGGATCTTCAGTTTTTGTTGTCTCCATCCCTCAGAATGCTGGCACAAAGTGAAAATGGGCAGTCTGCACTCAGCAGCAGACCGACCCTTCTGGAACCGCAGCTTATGTTTGCAGCACCCTTTGCCAATTATAAAACTCTTGCAAGTCAGACCAGCCTGCAAGATAGATATCAGGACAGAGGCATTTCAGGCAGAGGGCACAGGATGTTCAAAGGCCTTGAGGCTGGAGTGGGCCCATGAATTTGAGAAAAAGCAGGGAGAGGTGGCTGGAATGGAGTGACTCAGGGGGAAAACAGGAAGAAGTGAGGTTGGAGAGGTGATGGGGCCGGACCTTGTAGGGCTTTGTGGGTCTGAGTCTTCTGAGTGGGACAGAAGTCACTGGGGGACCCAAGGCTTAACAGGGCATCCTGGCTGGTAAGTTAAGAATGGATCATAGGAGCAAAGGCGGAAGTTGGGAGACCAGTTAAGACACTATTAGGATGGTAGTCACTTAATAGGCAAATTATATGACTATTATCATTTTTCCTTTAATATTCACATGGATTATAATCAACACTCTAGGGAAAGGAAGCAAAATTAATGGGGGGAAATAGGTTTATGTGAGTCAGAGACTTTATCAAGTGTCATTAGATATCATATATCAATCATGTCTCGTTGGTATTCAACCCATAAGCTACTAACTCTATGTTTTAGATTATGATTTCTAAAATAGATATCCTGTGCTTATTAGGATATTGACAACTCTGTAAGAGGAAAATTGTAGTTAATAGGCATCTTCTTCATTAAAGAAAATTAGTCTTAGTTAAATTAAGGAAAAAAATAGGCTATTTGTATCATCCAGGCAACAGATGGTGGTGGCTTGGGCCACTTGGAGGTTGAGGGGGTGGTGAGAAGCCATCAAATTCTGCACATATTTTGCACTTGGAGCCAGTAGTATTTTCAGACAGACTGGATGTGTGGTGTGTTAGAGAAAGAGAGAAGTTGGAGTTGCCATTAACTAAAATGGGGAAGATTTTGGAGGAAGCAGGCTGGAGTTGGATAGCAACTCAGTTTTGGACACATTAAATGTGAGATGCCTATAAGGCATCAAGGAGGAGATGCTGGGCAGGGGTTGGATGTACCAAGTCTGGAATTCAGGGGAGAACCACCACCTGGAGAGATGTCCTGGGGAGTCATTGGCTTCTTGGTCTATGTCAAATGCCCTGAGACCCGATGAGATCCCCTGGGAGTGGACATGCAGAGAGAAGAGATGTCCAGGATGGAGCCCTGGAATATTCCAAAATTTGGAGATCTTGCAAATGAGGAAGAAACAGCAAAAATCGACTAAGAAGGAGCAACTAGCGTGGTAGGAGGAAAAACAGGTGAGAGTGATGTCCTGGTAGCTGAGAGAAGAAAGTTCCAGAAGGAGAAAGTGATCTACTGAGTCCAGTGCTGCAAATGGGACAAGTTAGAAGAGGCCTGATTATTGGATTTGGCAACATGGTAGTCACTGTGCCCTTGATGAAAGTATTTTTGGTGGAGTCATGGGGCAAAGACCTGGTTGGAATAGATTCAAGGAAGAGAGGAGAAAAGTTGGAGACAGAGGGGTGAGCTCGCTAAGGAGTTTTTCTCTGGAAGCAAGGAGGGATATGCGGTGGCCGCTGGAGGGGAAGCTTTTAGTTTGTTGGATTGTGTGTTTGTTTGCCTAGTAAGTGCTTCTCCTTCCGGACAGAAACTTGCAGAAAAGTGTTATTACAGAAGGCTGCCTTTGATGCTAGGAATCCTCATCTAGAAAACTGCTAGTACGAATGTATTTTGAGAACTGTAAAACATGGTACAAAAGTTGTTATTCATATAAGAACCTTCATATCATCTTTTTAATTCCAAAATGGAACACAACTACATGGGAAAGAAGAGGCAAGGTGTTTCAAGAGAGAAAACAGGAAACTAGACATCAGCCTCAGTTCTGTCACAGACAAGCTGTGTGGCCTTGGAGAAGTTACTTAGCCACTCTGAGCTGCAGTTTCCTCACCTGTGGAATGGAGATTATGCCTACTTTCTAGACCGTTTTCAAAGTCAAATGAGTTAATATGCATGAAAGCACTTTCTCAAGTGTAAAGTAGACATACGTTGTCAGTGAGACAAGATAATCTTGACATCACAGAGATTATTCCCCTTGGGGACCTTTTCCTCATTTGTAAGAGGAAATTGCTAGACTAGATTTCACGGTTGCAAATATGTGTGTATGCGTGTGTACATAAATACAAGTACATGTAGTCTTGTGATAAATTGCTCTCCCCGAGTGACTTATAAATCCTTCTTCTCGCCAACCCTGTGATACTCTAACCTGTTTAAGATTTGAAGACAAATCTCTGAAGAGACTTTTAGGGCCTGCTTCTAAATGAAATTCTCATTCAGAGTCTTACTGATTTTTTGCTTATTTTTACAGCATGTTCCCAAAATGAAAGGAAACATGAGTGGAAATTTCACCTATGTCATTGACAGGTTAATTCCAAACACAAACCACTGTGTGTCCGTTTATTTTGAATCTGCAGACCAGGCGACAGTAGTAAAATCTCGCTTAAAATGCACCTTCCTTCAACCTGTCCAGGAGTCAGGTATGTTAGTTTTTAAAAATGCATACTTTCTTACTCTGAGGGAAAACTTATTTAAAGAGAACAATCTGAAATCCGTGGGGTGCTAAAGGTATTTCTTCGAAAGACGGCACATTGCAGACATGTTTTCTGTTGGTCAGTCTCTACTATCAGGTAGGGTCCCTTTGATGTTGTCATACTGTAGGGACAATCGGATATCTCCCTTTATAAGGTCAGAGATCTTCTAGAAATGGAAACTTTTATTTCAGGGGATCGGGATTAAATTCAGTGCTGTGTGCCCTTAGTGTGGCCATTGTTTGAGCCAAATGCTGGAAGGGGCGGAGCTGCTCACAGCAGTTGCCTGCTTTGCAACAGAGGGTGAAAAGATGGAGGCAGCAAGCCTGGGCGTGGCTCACGGATGTGGCCCAGCTCCGTCTGCTGTCACTCATCGATGGAAGGGAAACTTGCCAGAGTGGATGAGATAGTCACGAATGAAGGCTCAAAGCCCTTTTGTTGCAAAGACAGCAGGACAGTAAACAGTGTGGCTCCAGACCTCCCTCCCATATGGAGAAATGTGCAGTGAGAACAGTCAGACTTAGAAACTTCCCTGCTGGTTACTTCCTCAGGAAGTAACTAGGTCTCCACCTGTTTATCAAAAGTGAAAATCTATAAAAATGACCCTCAAAGAAGCCCTTCTAAATTCCCCAACCCCAATGGAAGCTTCTTTAATCTTCTGATTTACCAGAATAAAAACAAGGTAAGATTTATAAGGAAATGACTTTTAAGCGATGTGGTTATTTGTGAATTAAGTGAGCTCCATGAAATGCTGCCTAGCTCGTAAAGGTGCCCGATGTTAGCTCTAACCACGGGGTAGTATGATTTGATTCTCCAGTGTTCCTCAAAGCCAAATGATGCACAGAGCGATTTTAAAGGATAAAATATCTCAGACCTTTAGCTTAAGTTGTTTTTATAATTTCAGTTAAATACAGGAGACAAACCTAAAACTGCATATAGAGTCGGTATGTCCATAGCTCTTTAAAAAATATAATCCCCAAATAAATGTACATATTTATGTCCTAACGCCAATTCTATGACGCTAACTAATCCTAACAATTCAATTTATTTCTGACACCACCTGAAGTTAGCACAGGCCCCACGGGTTCGGGGCTCAGTCACACAAGACTGCCCCCCACTTCAAATGCCCACCACAAGTCCTGGGTCCCGAGGTTACCCGCATTTCTGTCTGACTCGGCTACAAAGTCAGGAGTTCCCATGACCTCCCTGCAGGTTCGGTAATTTGCTAAGATGACTCACAGAACTCAGGAAAGTGCTATACTTATGATGACCGTTTTGTCAGATTTAGCAATCTCGTCCTGTGTTCATGAGAAATCTGCATGCGCCGTAAGACTCAGGTCATATAACTCCCAACTGTCCAATCAAAGTGGTTCCATGGTGACATTTGAACCACAGAGAGGTCCCTATCCGGACACCATAGAACAGGACCCAGACCATAACCAAGCTCTCTTTTTCCTCTGTGACAAGGGGTCTGGTTGTCATCTATGGCATATGTATCATGCTTTGTAAATCTGTATCTTGCTCTTGCTCCATAATCCTATCTTTCTCTCCTCGATAAACCTCATTTTCGTGCTTGCTTTACGTTGGTGCATCTGGTCATTCGTTGGCCATGAGCGCACCAAGACCCGAGAACACAGAACGAGATTGCTAAATCCAACAATTTTATTATCAAGGTTACAAATGAACAGCCCAATGAAGAAATACACAGGACAAGGTCTGGAAGGGTCCCGAGTGCAGGAGCTTCTCTCCCTGTGGAGCTGGGGTGCACCACCGTCCCCACACATCCGTATGTTCACCAGCCTGGAGGCTCCCCAAGCCTTGGTGTTCGGAGTTTTTACTGGGCTTCATTATGTAGGTGTGATTGATTAAATCATGGCCACGGGATTGAACTCACTCTCCAGGCTCGCTCTCCTCCTTGGAGGTTGAAGGTGGAGTCGGAACTTCCAACCCTCTAATCGTGGGGCTGGTTTTTCTAGCGACCAGCCCTCATCCCGAGACTGTCTATCCACACCCCCATGTCACCTCATTGTCAGATATGGTCCCTAAAAGGAACTCTTTTAGGAATAACAAAAGACACTCCGATCACGCAGAGGATTCCACAGGTTTTTGAAAACTCTGTGCCAGGAACCAAACTCATGTATACAATAAAAACTCAAATTCATAACATGTCAGAGTGATGATGAAACTGAAACTCCGTCCCCACCCCCAAGGTGAAGGTGTTGCCGCTGAGAAGGCACAGGCTCTTCGGAGGGGGACGTGCTCTGTGGGGACTCACTTTCTCCCCTGACCCTTTTCCGTTTCACCCTCCGAGAGACGCTCAGGCGACAGCGTGCTGCCGGATCGTTCCATCCTTACTTGCATATTGTCAGCCTCCACTCTTTGATCATTACCCAGGACGAGTAAAGTGTGGGTATCCGCACACATACCGTACACAGCGTCCAGATTCTTGTAGTTGGAAACGCAGGAACCAAATAGGTTCTCTCGCCGTCCACTTGCCATCCGATCTGTTCTCAACTAGCCAATTCAGGAACCAGACGGGTTTGGATGGTGAGAGACCCTCGAAGGGCAGCACAAGCCCGGCCTTAGTGTAGGCTCAGCAGTAAACACTGCGGCTCTGGGCAGACTGGCACGGGAGGATTTTAGCCCAGAGATCTGGAGAAATGCCTTCCCCTGGCCAAGTCCTGAAAATTAATTGGTTGGCGCTTTTAGTAAGGCCCGGAGAGAAAGAAAGCTCTATTCATTCACTGATAGATGTTTATTGGGGGCCTGTTATGAGCCAGATTCTATTCTTGTTACTGGGGATATAGCAGTGAACAAAACAGATACAAATCCCTGACCTTGTGGAGCGTACATTGCAGTAGGAGACAGCATAACAAGATAAACAAGTAAAATATGCAGTATGTTAAGTGCCAGTAAGTACCACGGAGAAAATTAAGCAGGAAGGGAGATGAGGGTGTGTGAAGTGGAGGGGGTGGGTCGCTGTTTTAAGTAGGGCGGTGTCTTGGTTCACATTCCCTAGAAGCAGAGCCCGGGGAGGGGTTCTTGTTCAAGTGTGACGTATTTGGGGCGGGGGAGGATGGTGCGGAATCTGGAGGAGAATGAGGGAGCAGGTAGGGACGGGGAGAGAAATTAACTAAGCGAGTATGTGGTCCCAGCTGAGCCTCACTTGAACCTGATCACAGGGGGTTCTCTGGAGCATGGATTGTCCCCTCGGACAGCCAGTCAGTCAGTTAGCGGAGGTGATCTGTGGCATCCAGGGGAGGCAGTCCCGCTTTGGCCAAGGGAAGTTCCTTAGAGAAGGATCAACTCCGAGATGCATCGGCCAACAGGTGCAGCAGCACTCGGGGTGCACACGGGTAAGGAGGACGTGGGCGGGACACCTGCAGCAGCCTCCACAGATGGCCAGGGAGGGCCTTCCCGAGACGGTAGCATTCGAGTAAAGACCCAGCGGGGATGTGGTAAGCAGAATAATAGCTCCCCAAAGATGTCCACATCCTAATCCCACAGATGTGAACAGGCTGCGTCCATGGCAAAGGAGCTTTGCAGTCGGGATTAAATTGAGGATCCTGAGATGGGGAGATTATCCTGGATCCTCCAGGTGGACTCAGTATAAGCACAGGGGTCCTTCTAAGGGAAAGAAAGGGGCAGGAGACTCAGAGTCAGAAAAGGGGCCGTGACAACAGGAGCAGGGGTCAGAGAGTATGACTTGGAAATGCTATACAACTGTCGCTATCCCATGAGCCCAGGAATGCAGGTGGCCTCTAAAATCTGGGAAAGGCAGGGAAATAGGTTTTCCCCTAGAGCCTCCAGAAGGAATGCAGTCCTGCCAACACCTTGATTTTTATCCCAGCGAAACCCATTTTGGACCTCTGACCTCCAGAACTGTAAGATAATATATTTGCAGTGTTTTACGGCACTAACTCCGTGGTAATTTGTTACAGTAGCAATGAGAAACTAATGCAGGAGGTGAGGGAGAGAGTCACTGCAGACATATGGGGAGAGAGTTCCACGTGGAGGCTCCAGCGAGTGCAAAGGTCCTGAGGCAGGGTTATACCTGGCATGGTATGGCAGGAGTGAACCGCGCAGGGGAAGAATACTAATGGTTTGGGTCAGAGAAGGGTGGAGGACTTTAGACGAGGTAGGTAGGACTTTAGGAACCACTGTAAGAGACAGGGCCCCTCAGAGGGTGGTGAGCAGGTTGCCTCCTTGTGATCAGTCTTAGGATGTAAAAGGAGCATCTAGATGCCATGAGGTGGGAGCCAGGGCGGGGCTGATGGCGCAATAGTCTAGGTGGGAAGTGGTGGTGCTTGGTCCAGAGGGGTGAGAGGGGAGGAGCCCCAGCAGATTGATGTTAATCACCATCATCTTTTGACAAAGTCCTTTTTCTTTTCCATTAAAGGTAATTGTAATCAGATATTACCAACCCCCTATTGCTTAGCTCAGCCCTCTGTTTGTGGGTTCCTTGTGTTTTGTTTAAAAAGTCTCAACAGTGAGTCTGGAGAAAGACAGGTGTGTCCAAGGCCAAATTTTGAAGACACACCTGGTCTCCCCTTCCCAGGATGGCTTGATCTGACTCATCTTCAAAGAAGAAGGTAGATAACAGCAGTAACATCTAATTACAATTTCTCCTTTCTGAGTAGGAACCCTGGCAGAATTCATCTTTTTTCAAACAGGAATGTTTAAAAATAGCATGCATGTATAATTTGTCATCAAGCTAAAAACAAAAATATTAATTCTCATAAAGAACTCTCAGACACATGACAATACCCCAAATTGAGAAGTATTATCCTAGCCTATTAACTACAATTTACATAATTTGGTTTGTAGGATGTCCTATTAAATAGATGACAGACGGTGCTTTGTGGCTAGTCTCTGAAAGTTGAATGGGTAGATGAGTCAGAATCTCAGTATTATGCCATTGTGTCACCAATGAAATCATTTTGGTTTACAGTGTCCTTTTTAGGAATGTAAACTCTGTATGTGTAATACTTTTGTATCATAAAGGTGAGCTCTGGGGCTAGATCTGAGTCTAGAACTGTCACTGACATGACGATCCCCCATGCACTCTCAATGAGGATCAGAGTGGCTTCGTGAACCCTGTGCTATGTAGCAGTGCAAGGGTATTTACTGAGTTCCTTTCCATTCATTCTTTAAAGACTTGAAGTACAGAATCCATTTTTATTTCCTTTTTTCTCCCCTCTGTCTGTTTTGCCTGAGGCCGTAGTTACAGGATTAATATCAATAAAGGTCTTTCTGGAAATTAAAGAGAGGCTTAGTTACAGTCGCTACTGATTTCTTCTCAGTCCAATCAGACTTAAGGAAAAAAGCTATGTTTGATCAGAAAGTTGAAATTGTCCAAAAGGAATTTTGGCAAGAAACCAAGGGGAACTCTTAGTAGAGCAAGACGGGTTCTGCAGAGCCCTGATTTGGGGCCCTGGCACGGCCGAAGTCCGGTGTCAGAATGAGCCAGTTGGTTTTATTCAGGCTGACTCTCCTTTCCCTCTTCCTGCCTGCGCGCGTGCTAACGTGTGGCTATTGAGCATTGGGATGTGGCTGATAAGACTGAGAGACTGAGCTCTTAATTCTATTTAATTCTGATCATTTAAATTCAAGCAGCCACAGCTAGTGGCTACTGTATTAGATAGTATAGTTATAGAATACAAGCTAAGAACAAATGTACTTTTAAAAGCTAAATCTATTTTATTGTTTAAAATATACACACTTGGATGACTCTCCATTCTTTGGTATTCAGCAATACAAAACTTTTTTTCAAAGTTTTGCTTTCTTGATATCACCCTCTAACACCAGACCAATGTGTATGTATTCCCATCTGTGATCGTTTATTGGATTTCTTTTGAAATAAAGTCACTTAATTTTTCATCCGCAGAACCATCAGAATCTGGCAAAATAGGAGGAATAATTACCATGTTTTTGATAGCAGTGATCTTGACAAGCACCATAATAGTACTGAAACGGATTGGCTACATATGCTTAAGAAAAAAATTTCCCAAAGTCTTGGTATGTAGCTTTTTTTTTAATTTCTATCTTTTTTATTTTAATTAACAATTTTTGTTACATGCCTAAATATTTTCATAGAAGAAAATCTCCTTTTCTAAAAACACCAAGGTGCTGAGTTCTTTTCCATCCTTATATACATATATTTTGCAGTTATAAGTATACCCATGCATTTTCTGTTTTCTTTTTCTACTTTTCCACCTATTATTTATAATGATCATATAGAATTTCATTACTGTTAATGTACTATTTTTTGCTTAACCATTTCTCAGCTATAGGACATTTGGACTGATTTCTTTTTCATTTCTTTTCCTTTTCTTTCTTAGGCCATTATGAATAGCGCAATAAACATTTTTATATAGATTATCTTTTTTATTTTGGATTGCTTCAGTGGCACATACACACAAAGTAGATTTATCTTATAAAAAGATATTATAAAGAACTGAATCATAATGCCAGTGGCGATGTATTGGTGCACATATTTCTCCAGAGCTCCACTGACAGTGATTAATCATTTTTACTTCTTTGGTTCATTATCATGTGTATGACGATCTCCCACAGTTTCTCTCATTTGTGTTATTTTTATTATTAGTGAAAACAGCCGTCACTTGTCTTCATTTCTTCTCTGTGCTTCTCCCCAGAGCCTTTACTCACCCCAGTCTGGAGATTGATCTTGTATGTTTCTGAAACCTCCCATGACTTTCCACTCGACTGCTTTTGCCCATCATGTATCATTATTCCTATCCCATTGCTTGCTTTTTATATTAGTTTTGTAATATTTCATCCAGAAGTATCTTATTTTTCTATGTTTGAACCCATTCACATTATTCTCCTACTTTCTTCAATTAGGAAAATGTAATTAAATATCCCTGCGCAGTTGATAAAATTGCACTCTTCTTATCATGGTGTTGTCTTGTGTCTGTCTAGTATTTCTCCATGAAAAACTGTTGCACTATGTTTAAGTAAAAACTCTAGGAATAGGGAAACAGAACACTCTAGGCCTACTGTGTTTGTATATGTGTGTTTAAGCAGTAATAGATGTTAAAAGAGGTAAATTATTAGAATGAATAAGTTTAGCAAACTTGTTGCCTACAAAATCAATAAAAGTGCTTATTACATTTTTATGGCCAGGTGAAGCGGCTCATGCCTGTAATCCCAGCACTTTGGGAGGCCAAGGCAGGGGGAACACTTGAGACCAGGAGTTTGAGACCAGGTTGGGCAACATAGCGAGACCCCTATAAACATTTTTTTTAACTAGCTGGGCATGGTGGCACGCACCTGTAGTCCTAGCTACTGAAGACACTAAGGAGGGAGGATCCCTTGAGCTCAGGAGTTTGAGGTTACAGTGAGCTATGATCATGCCACTGTACTGTGGCCTGGGCAACAGAGCAAGACCCTGTATCAAAAAAAAAAAAAAATGCTTACATGTTTCTATACTATCAGCATTCAATTAGAAAATAAACATAGAGCTGCTTTTCAATATTCAAGAAATAAAGTACACAAATCATAGGTGTAAATCTTGTTGAATTTTCACAAACTGCACACACCCTTGTGACTCATGCCCCAATCAAGAAAGAGAATATGACCAGCACCCGTGGATTCTCTCTCCTGCCACCTTCTAGTCTCTACCTCTCACCAGGGGTAACCTCTATCCAGATTACTAACAGCACAGATTAGTTTTGCCTGGCTTTGAGCTTGATATAATTGGAAACATACAGTTAAAAAAATACCATTACAATAGTAACAAAAAATATGTTTAAAACATTCAAGGACTAAATCTAACAGAAGATGTACAAGCCATTTGTAGAGAAAATTGTCAAATCTTATTGAAAAGCATTAATAAAGATCTTCTCAAATGTGTGCCCAGAAACAGACCCACACATATGGAAACATGACTAGTGACAGCGTGGGTGATGTAGATTACTGAGAAAAGGAAGGGCTGGACAATAAATGTCATCTATACAGGGGTAAATGACATTGGATCCCTACCTCATACCATACACAAAAATCAATTGCAGGTAAATCAAAGACTAATATGAAAGGCAAAACTGTTAAAGTTTTAGAAGGCAATGTAGGAAATTCTGTATGACTTTGGGGTAAGGAAGATTCAGATGCAGAAAGCAAAAGCCATAAAGGAATAAAATTGATAAGTTTTCTTACACTAAAATTAAAAATTTCTTTTCACTAACTGTCATCCTAAGGAGAGTAAAATGATAAACCACAGATTGGAGGGAAATATATGTTATTCAAATAATTGACAAATGATTAGTGGACCAATTATATAAAGAACACCTATGAATCCATAAGAAAAAAGATGAACAACCCAGTAGAAAAATTCACCCCAAGGCTGGGTCTGGATAGAGTACGGGAAGGACAGGTTTGGCAGATTGGACAGCCTGTGCAGGCATAGGAGAGCAGAGAGGAGAACCATGCCAGTGAGGATTTCAGGTCTGTGAAAAAATTCTTGTGACCATCCTTCTCACTGGTCATCCCATTGAAGTCAATTTGACAACAGGACCCTCCAGCAGGGGGGACCTCAGCCTGCCTCCTGTTCTCCTGGCGGTGTTTTCTTCCCAGTGCTAGGATAGAACAGGCTTCAGTCTCCCTGCTCCCCCATGCCTGACCCTTTAGGGGCCATCTGCATTGTTAAGGTCCTCTAAACCAGAGGGTGCATATTATTATTTCTCTGGGCTTTTAACGCCAATAGAATCAGTTCCCTAGAGTCTTCCCTCACCCCCAGTTCCCTGACACCACTGAAGAATGTTTTGGCAATCCAGAATTGAAATCTGTCCAGCCTAAATGGATAGATTCCTCCAACAGGCAAGCAGCACCAAAGGAAGAGGAAGTGGGGAGGGGTGAGTCAGAATACAGTCTCTGGTCAGGCACCATCCTGGTTTGAAATCCAGCTGTCATAAACCGAGAGCAAGTTTCTTAACCTCTCTGCGGCTCATTTTCTCATCTGTAGAGGGGGCATAAGAATAGTAAGCCTACTTCATACAGCAGCTGTGAGGGTCAAGTGAATTATGTATAAAGCGCTAAGAGTAGCACCCAGCAGATCATACGCACTGTGTAACTGTTAGATGTGATTATTGTCGTCGTCATCATCATCTGCATCATTGTGCAGGCAATCTCATTAAGTTTTTTAAATTTATTTTTATTTATTTTTTAATTTTTTAAATTAATTAATTTTTTTTTTTTTAGAACCAGGGTCTTGCTATGTTGCCCAGGCTGGAGTCCAGTGGCTATTCACAGGTGCAGTCGTAGCGCACTGCGGCCTCAAACTCCTGGGTTCAAGCAGTCCTCCCTGAAGTCTCCCACGTGGCTGGGACTACAGGCGTGAGCCACCACGCCTAGCTCATTAAGTTTTATTACGTAAAACGTAAAGAGCAAACACTCACAGCTGATATAGTATTTTTTTTTTTTTTAAGAATTTTCATAACTTTTCAGCCTGGATATTTCCCGAACTGCCACCGTGGGAAGCCATGGATATGGTGGAGGTCATTTACATCAACAGGAAGAAGAAAGTTTGGGATTACAATTATGATGAAAGTGACAGCGATAACGAAGCAGCCCCCAGGGCAAGCGCCGGTGGTTACACTATGCATGGGCTAACAGTCAGGCCTCTGAGCCAGGCCTCCGCCGCCTCCGCTGCCTCCAAGGAGTCCCAGTTCATAGACCCAGACTCCTCCGAGGAGCCTGACCTGCCTGAGGCTGCCGCGGAGGCCCCCACGATGCCAGGGCACAGCCCCTGGCAGCTGGAACACATGAGTGGGCCCTATGAGAGGAGAAAGAGTCCCCTCCAGGACCCCTTCCTTGAGGAGGACAGCAGCTCCACTGAGCAGTCTGGGGACAGAATTATCTTCAATGTGGATTTAAACTCTGTGCTCATGAGGGTCCACGACAACGACAAGGATGACAGTGACAACTCAGAAGAAGACCCTCTGATGTTATCAGTTCTTCCAGAAGAGACAGTTGGCCCAGAGGATGCAGACGAAAGGGAATCAAGCCTTCTGCTGGCCAGTGGGGAAGGGACACAGACAGCCTATCTCAGCCCCTCTTCAGAGCACCTGTGGCCCGAAGATGCTCCATCTGATAAAAGTGACACTTCGGAGTCGGATGTTGACCTTGGGGATGGTTATATAATGAGATGACTCCATAACTATTCAATGAACTTGGACAAGTACGCTACAGAGTTCTCGCTCCTTGCACCCTAACTTGCTGCTTTGTGGTCTGCAAGTGTTCTCTAAGGGAAGGAGTGGGAAACTGTGGAGGATGTCTCCTTCTTCCCGGGGACATCATCTATGCAAATCCCCAGTTTGGGGAACATACTGTCATTCGGTGCATTGTTTACATGTTCAAAGTGATGCACTTTGAAGGGAACCTGCTGTGCCGTTCCCTTCACACTAATGCACTTATGATGTATGTGCAACATGTTTCCCAGGAAGCAGGGTGCCGTGTGGTTTTCAGGGTTGGTTCAGGGCCCTGTGATATTTCTGGGACGTAAATTGGGCCAGGTGGGAGCGGAGGAAGAAAAGGAAAACACTGGATAGGATTCCTAAGAGCAGCAGTCAGCAGGGTTTAGCAAGCAGAGCCCATGAGGCCAGCAGGCTCAAGGAAAGCTGCAGAGCCGGCAGGAAAGGAGGCGAAGGGGCGGGAAGGCAGCTGGAGAGAATGGAAGGGCCAGCGAGGGTTCAGTGAATGGGCCTTGGGCACCTCGCCCATGTCATATTTTGTCTCCTGCACTCTGAGAATTCCACCTCATCCAGCCCTCCTCAGTGTGAGTGTGGAAGACAGACTCCAGGCAGGTGACTACCAGAGAGAGGAAACATTGCACAGGGGACAGGGATAAAATCTCAGTGCCATATTTTAAGATTAAAAAAAGAAAAAGCACAAAAGCAGAAGTGCTTCAAAGTCTTCAGAAGAATTATAGCATACAAGTCCCAGACATATTCGACAGTTTTAAAAGTGCTTCATGTGCTGATTCCAAATGTCCTACATGTGATTACAGTTCCTATGAATCAGGAAGGAAAAAAAAGTGAGGTTCTAGAATGTCATGTAGCAAACAGTACAAGGACTGGGACTCAGAGATCTGACTGCCTTGATTTCACAATGTGGCCCTAGGTAATCTCCAAGATTCTGTGAATCTAGGAGAAAGATTAGAAAACACCCAGGAATAAAGACTCAGATGGAAGAGCTGCAACCCTGAGAGGCTCCCAGGACAAATGAAAGGTAGAAGACCTTCCTGTCTCACTCTCCTCCCCCTCTCAGACCTCTCTGCTAGGCCCATTCAAAAGGGGAAAACCCAAAACTATACGAGTCCTAGTTCAAGGACTTTAAATGGATTATTTGTGTAATTGCTTTAAAGTAACTCAAAAGGGAGAGGGCTGTGAGGAGGGAAGCCATTTATTTAATGATCTAAAGGAATTCCATAGGAAAGAGATCTTGCTGTATACACAGTCCCTTTCTCTGCCCTCTAAATGCATCTATTGTATTCTGAAAGATTTCTAGATTGATATTTTGGTATAATCTCTTTATGACTGTGTGTGTGTGCGCGCGCATTTTTTAAAATTTTGTATAATGGTTGGAGGTTGGTAAAGGGTAATATAAAAATACTTTTTAATACAAAGTTGGTGTGATCTTCAGAGTTGTTTCTCGTTGGCCGGTGCATGTCTGTAGCAGAGGGCTGGAGCTGGCATCTCGAGGGCTGCACCAGCCCCCTCTGAGCGCGCGGTGGCCTGCAGGCTACCCGGTAGCGGCCCCCCGCTGGCCTTGTTGGGAGTGCACCGCCGCCAGACCCCTGGCGGTGGCGTGCATTACCCAATACGTCGGCGGCTCCGGATTTTCCAAGCTCATCATTGATCAAGTTTAAAAAGAGGAAATTAAAGCTTTCTCAGCAGTCCCGTGGAAGAAACTAGTTATTGCGAAATAAACGACCTAGTTTTGTGTTGTTCATCGCCGGGGAAGGGGAGGGTAAGGAAGACCCTCTCAAACTGGGCTTGCCGACGGGTGCTGTTAGCTCCCGGACGCGGGGAGAGGGCATCTGGAGGGCGTGCCCGTCGGCGGGAGAAACCCTGGGGCGTGCGGAGTGGTTTGAAGAAAACCCGCCACCGCCCATGACTCCGCCATCCAGCTCTCACCCCTGGGGTGGGGATTTAGTGTATTACTTAACTTTATTTAACCTCCTCCGGGTCGCCGGGCTGGCGCGGGCCTGGCGCGCTGGGGTCCCGGGGGCCGCGGGGGCGCTGGGGGACAGGGACCGGGGCGGGGCCCGAGGCGGGGGCGGGGCCATGTCGCCCCGCCCCCTGGGCTCCCGGAAGCCATGGCGCGGGCCCTCGGGAGCTGGCTGGGCGGCTACCTGCTGGTGTCAGGTGAGGGGCTCCGGGGGCGGACGGGGGGCGCGGGCGGGAACGCGGAGGCCCCGCGAGATGCGACCCCTGCTGGCACTCGTGGGCGCCGGAAAAGTGGCTACGTGCCGGGTCGCGACGCCAGGGCCTCCGGGCAGGAGATTCAAACCCAGTCGGCTGCTAACACGGGCCACGGGGATCCTACGGGGAGCAAGCCCCAGCCCGCCCCCAGTTCCGGACCTTCCGGACCGTAAACCCGAGGGGGAGACTCCGGCATCTCTACCTCGGGGCGTCTAAGTGTCTACATCACCGTCTCCACTTGCCCACACCTTCCCGTTCAGGCCTCAGCACCCTGAAATCTGAATTCGCCCCTCAGCGCCCAGCTCTGTGGCTTCTCGGTTCTAAATCCAAGGAAATCTTTTCTGTCCTCTAAATTGACCGCCCAGGGTCAGGCATCACGATGGCCCCCTCCTTCCTTTCTGAAGCCCTCTGCCCTGGCGCTCTGGCTTCCCTCCTGCCTCGAAGGCTGTTTCTCACGTCCTCCTCCCTTGCCAGAGATGTGCGTAGCCGAGGGCGTGCCCGAGCCCTGTCCTTCCCCTCCCCTGTGCAGTTCTTTGGGGGATTTCAGCAGAACCCTGGCATTAAATACCGGCTATGGGCAGTATTTCTCAAATCCCTATTGGTACTAGTGGGGTGGTTTATTTTACTCTTCTCTCTACTTGTGTATATGTTTAGAATTTTCTATTAAAAGGTTTACAGATAATTTCTGTCTCTAGACCAGATCTGTCTTCTGTGGGACCTCTGGGGTCTTTCAGCCAGCTGTCCCTCTGACATCCCTACTTGCGTCTCTCTGGCATCTCCAAGCTGATGCAGCTACAAGGGGACTCGTGAGTTCCCTGCCCCAGTCCCATTCAGGGCACCAGGCGCATAAGCCAGAAGTGGACATTAACCTCGACTTTTCCACATCAAATGTGTCAGGAAATCTAGAGTTTATACTTCTAGAAATATATTTGAAATCCATCTACCCCACCCTACCCCTCACACCTTTCTACCACCACCCAAATCCAAATCCCTTCATCTGTCCCCACTTCACTCCCGGCACCACCACCCCCCTTTCCAAATGTCTTCTCATGGCTCTTCAAATAAAATCCAGAAATCCAGATTCCTCATACAGCTAAGGTGTCCCTCTCTCTCCCTCCCTCACCATGTGGTATTTGAGGATGTGGAGTGGGAGGGGAGAACCAAGTGTTCGATGTGGTCATTTTCATGGGCTACCTTTTTGAGGGAAAAAGTTGCAGTTTTTTTTCCTTTATTTTTACAGCATTGGGAATGGTGCCACCTCCTGAAAATGTCAGAATGAATTCAGTTAATTTCAAGAATATTCTGCAGTGGGAGTCGCCTGCTTTTCCCAGAGGGACTCTGACTTTCACGGCACAGTACCACAGGTGAGCCTGGCCTTGCTTTTGGTACGAAGGCAGCAGAGGAGGGGGCCCTGGGATGGTTGCTGGGCTGGGCCACAGGAGGAGAGGGTAACTGCTGTCACCATGTGACCATGACAGCCCTCAGGAGCCTCTCTGCTGGCCTTTTTCTTTCTGTCTGGGAATTCTTGTGGTCACCTTTTGCTTTTCAGATTTTCTTGCTGTGATGGTTCATGGTTTGTTTATCACTGGGCTGCTAGTAGATACAGACCTTTGTATCACGCAGATGTAAGATGTAATCAGCCACCGTGGGTAGCCTCGGTGTGATGTAGAACCTAGTTTGTTTGTCACAGTTGATATATTTAAGAGGAAAATGCTACTGCTGTCATCTCCAGATTAAAGTAGTATTGCTAGAAGTCAACAATGTATGAGTGGAAGCTGAGGTATGCAAAGCAGTCAGGAAGACCCTTGCTACCACGTACCACCTGCCCGCCTCCAGTGGATATGGTAGTACACCCCAGTGCCTTGGGGCTCACACAGTTTGCATAGTGGGCGCTCAGTTACTCCATGGCCACCTCCTGAAATTGAAAGTAAGACAGCTACTGGCTGTCAAAAGCTCCATTCTCTGACAATAGCAGACACTATGAAGGAAGGGTGTCACCCTAGCTGGTCATCTCGGCGGTGATCTGAATTCCCTCCACCTCCCCTGCCTGTCAGTATTTCCCTGTGCCTGGTGAAGGAAATCTGTGCTGGTGCTCCCTTGGCAGCCTGCCACCATACAACACATGCTGACCTGCAGGTGACACACCTTTACGTCAGGTGCAAACAGCAGCAGGAGGCCAAAGGCTGATGAGCCAACATTCTTGCTTTTTATGTGACTCAGAAACATACACAGATAGACAAGTCCTTCAGTGAGGCGGAAGGAAATTCGGTCCTGGGTCCCATTAATCCCACACTCCCACCCATCTGGCTGTCATTTTACAAACATCTTCATGGCCTGCTGAGTCAGTGAAGAGACAAAGATGAATAGCTATGTTTACGTGTTGGTGGTTTTCTTTTTAGCTATTTACTTCAAAATAATTCCAAACTAACAGAACATTTCAAAATTTCAAGTATAGTACAAAGAATTTCTAGATAGCCTACAACCAGATTCACTAAATTGTAATGTTTGCCACATTTTCTCTCTCCCTCCCCTCTCCTTCTCTCTCATATATCGTGCCCTTTGTCCCTTAATATTTCAGTGTATGTTTTGCAAGAACAAGGACAGTCTTTCACATCACATGCTACAGTTAAAAGCTCAGGAACTTTATTACTGATACAATTACTTTTATCTAATCCGCAGTCCATAGTCCAGTTTTGTCAGTTGTACCATGAATTTATGAAGGGTCATTCTACACTTTATTTTTTCCTGAGGTGCATTTTCTAGTACTGATTGGTTTTATCATTGCATTTCTGTGTTTTCTCCCCTCAGGCTGGACAGCCATAGAGATTTCACCGGAAAATTAACTTTCCTCGTTTTCTCTCTCTTTCCCCTGTAGTTTGTTTTCTGGTGTTCTGTGCCTTGCTTTTTTGCCTTCATAGTAGAGGCACTTGGTTTTAGGTAAGAGGTCCCAGTGACTTCATGAAGGCGTAGGGGCAGGAGGTGGTTATTAGCCAAGAGTCCGTGTCCGGGTTCCAGGTTTCCTTTGCATGAAACTACAGACCAAGCCTGGCATGTGCTGGAGAAAACAAAAACACGTGCAGGGCATGTTCTTGGGAAAGATATTTGATCCCGAAAGATCTGATTAATTCTTATGTGGCTCCATGAAAGGTGTGTTTAGAATTTAGCCTGAGCAGTTGCATAGCACAAACTCTCTGTTGCATGTGCGCATTGGGACGCTTCAGAGGATGTATTTGGTGATTTTAACATGGAACCATCCCCCAAAAATTAGCTGTAAATATGGGGAATGGGTCATATTACCTATTTAATGAGGAGATAAATATTTGTCAATGCAATCAAAATAATTAAGTGAAAGAGAGGTTATTCCAAACAACTTTTCAAACACTGCGAGCCCAGTCGATGCATTAGTTTCAGTGAAGGGAATGGCCACATGTGAGAAAACCCCCTTGACAAAATAACCCCTGGGTTTTCCAAACAATGGGATGATACACAGCCATGAAGAATTGATCGATTGGCAAAATGTCTGCGGTATATTAAGTGAAAAAAAGCGGATTGTAAAACAGTATGATCCCAGTTGTAATATCTCTACCTACTTTTTGCAAGGGATTGCTCTGGATATTGCTAAGAATTCTGTGAAGTGCGATGTGCTACCTAAGACCGTGGGCTCTAAAGTCAGACAGGTCTGAGTTCAGTTGGGCAGATTTCTTAGGCTCTCCACACCTGACCCCTAAGTACTCGATAAAAGTTGAACTGTTATGATTTTATCATCATCACTTTCATTGTCACTTCTGAGCACAGCCAAATTTGGCTTTGGCCCCTAGACAAAAGATGCCTTGGAGAACCAGTCAAACAGCCTCCTGACTTTTTGCAGGATGAGAACCTGGACTTCCTTAGGTCAGGGGAAGCTATTAATAATTACACCTCCTCAGGCTGTCGTGAGGTTAAGTTATGGAGCTCGGGAGATGGTATTTGCTTAGCATCCAGTAGGTATTCCCAAACATCATGTCTTTTCTGCTTCCACTTCACATTTCTGCTACTCTCCCTTCAGTGGTTGCTGTTGGGGCTAGAGTTCTGACTGGGATTGATGCAGTGTTTTATAAATATTCCAGGGTAATTGCAACGATAGTCATATATAGGATATTACAGTTATGTGTCGCTTAACGATGGGGACATGTTCTAAGAAATGCATCGTTAGGTGATTTCACCTTTGTGCAAACGTCGTAGAGTGTACTTACACAAACCTAGATGGTATTGTCTACTACACACCTAGGCTATATGGTGTAGCCTATTGCTCGTGTGCTACAAACCTGTACAGCATGTTACCATACTGAATACTGCAGGCAATTGTCACATAATGGTTAGTATTTGTGTACAGGCATACCTCGAAGATATTGCAGGCTGGGTTCCAGACCACTGCAATAAAGCGAACAAGTAATAAAGCAAGCTACATGAATTTTTTGGTTTCCCAATACATATGAAAGTTATGTTACATACATATGAAAGTTACAGTGTTGTGTAATCTATTAAGTATAAAATAATATTGTCTAAAAAATGTATATATACCCTAATTTAAAAATAATGTGTTGCTGGAAAATGCTAATGATCATCTGAGCCTTCGGCAAGTTGTAATTTTTTTTGTTGGTGGAGGGTCTTGCCTCCGGGTTGATGGCTGCTGACTGATCAGGGTGGTGGTTGCTGGAGGTTGCGGTAGCTGGGACAGTTCCTTAAAATAAGACAACAGTGAAGTCTGCCACATCAATTGCCACACATTTTTTTCATGAAGGATTTCTCTGTTGCACGTAATGCTGTTGGATAACATTTTACCCACGGTAGAACGTCTTTCAAAATTGAAATCAATCCTCTCAAAATCTGCTGCTGCTCTGTTAACTTAGCTTGTGTAATATTCTAAATCCTTTGTTGTCATTTCGGTAATGTTCACAGCATCTTCCCCAGAAGTAAATTCCATCTCAAGAAACCATTTTCTTTGCTCATCCATAAAAAAAAAACTCCTCCTCCGTTCGAGTTTTAGCGTGAGATTGTAGCAATTCAGTCATATCCTCAGGCTCCACTTCTAATTCTTGTTCTCTTGCTGTTCCCACCACATCTGCAGTGACTTCCTCCACTGAAGTCATGAACCCCTCAAAGTCATCCATGAGGGTTGGAATTAACTACTTCTTCCAAACTCCTGTTCATGTTGATATTTTGGCCTCCTCCCATGAAACCCAAATGTTCTTAATGGCATCTAGAATGGTAAATCCTTTCTGGAAGGCTTTTCAATTGACTGCTCAGATCCATCAGAGGAATCTAGGGAAGCTGTTGCCTTACGAAATGTATTTCTTAAATAATAGGACTTGAAAGTCGAAATTACTGCGTGATTCATGGGCTGCAGAATGGATGTTGCGTTAGTAGGCATAAGAACAACATTAATCTTATACACCTCCATCAGAGGTCTTGGGTGACTAGGTGCGTTGTCAATGAGCAGTAATATTTTGAAAGGAATCTTTTTTTTCTGAACAGTAAGTCCTAACAGTTAGCTTAAAATATTCAGTAAACCATGCTGTAAACAGATATTCTGTCATCCAGACTTTGTTGTTCCATTTATAGAACACAGGCAGAGTAGATTTAGCATGATTCTTAAGGGCCCTAAAGTTTTCAGAATGATAAACGAGCATTGGCTTCAACTTAAAGTCATCAGCTGCATTAGCCCCTAACAAGAGAGTCAGCCTGTCCTTTAAAGCTTTGAAGCCAGGCAGGCATGGTGACTCATGCCTGTAATCCCAGCTACCCAGGAGGCTGAAGCAGGAGGATCACCTGAAGCTAGGAGTTCAAGACCAGCCTGGGCAACATAGCAAGACCCCATTTCTAAAAGAAAAGGAAAATTTTTGTTAAATTAGCCAGGCATGGTGGCATGTTCCTGTAGTTTCAGCTACTTGGGAGGCTAAGGCAGGTTCGCTTGATTCCAGGAGTTCAACACTATAGCGAGCTATGATCATGCCGCTGTACTCCAGCCTAGGTAACAGAGCAAGGCCCTGTCCCTAAAAAAAAATAATAATAATAATGAAAAAATTAAAAATATAAAAATAAGAGCTTTGAAGCCCGGCATTGACTTTTCTTCTCTAGTTATGAAAATCCTACATGGCATTGTCTTCCAATAGAAGTCTGTTTTGTTTACATTGAAAGTCTGTTGTGTAGTGTCGCCACCTTCATGAGTGATCTTAGCTGGATCTCTGGATAACTTGCCACAGCCTCTCCATCTGTATTTGCTTCTTCCCCTCACACTTTTATGTTCCGGAGATGGCTTCTTTCCTTAAACCTCATGACCCAACCTCCACTAGCTTCCAACTTTCGTTTTGCAGCTTCCTCACCTCTCAGCCTTCATGGAATTGAAGAGAGTTGGGGCCTTGCTCAGGATTAGACTTTGCCTTAAGGGAATGCTGTGGTTGGTTTGATCTTCTATCCAGACCACTTAAATTTTCTCTATGCCAGCAATAAAGCTGTTTCACTTTCTTATCATTGTGTGTTTTCACTGGAGTAGCATTTTTAATTTCCTTCATGAATTTTTCCTTGACACTCACAATTTGGCTAACTGTTTGGCACAAGAGGCCTAGCTAGCTTTCGACCTATGTTGGCTTTCAGCATGTCTTCCTCACTAAGCCTAATCATTTCTAAGGTGAGAGATGTGCAACTCTTCCTTTCCCTTGAACACTTAGAGGCCATTGAAGGGTTATGAACTGGCTTAATTTCAGTACTGTTGTTTCTGAGGAAATAGGGAGGCCTGAGGAGAAGGAGAATGACAGGGAGAATGGCCGGTCGGGGGAGCAGCCAGAGCAACATACAATATTTATCGATTAAATTTGCCATTTTATAGGGCACGTGATCGCTGATCACAGATAACCATAACAGATGTTATAATGGTGCAAAAGTTTGAAACATTGCAAAAACTACCAACCTGCAACACAGACACAAAGTGAGCACATGCTATTGGAAAACTGGCACCAATAGACTCGACACAGGGTTGCCACAAACATTCAATTTGTAGAATTCACTACCTGTGAAGCACAATAAAATGAAGCGTGATGATGAAGTGTGTCTGTATCTAAACAAACTTACATATAGAAAAGGTACAGTGAAAATACAGTATTATAATCTTATGGGACCACCATCGTATATGTCATGTCGTCCATCATTGACCAAAACGTCATTATGTATCATGTGACTATATTTGAAATTGCTGTAATATCCTTATTTTGATTAATCTGTATATATCACAAATCATGTGCCATTGCTTTCAGAAATACATAATCAAGGAAGGAAGCTTTTTTGGTCAAGTATGTTGAATACTTAACCCATTTTTTGAGAAGCACATGCTTATTATTAGGATGTACGAAGTCTGTTCTTTTTTGAAGACATCCATTTTCATTTTTAACCCAATTTTTCCTCCAACTTATTTAACCAGGGGATAGATTATTTTTGAACTGCCTTATGATGTCTCAAGGTTCCCTGCAACACAGTTTGGAAAATACTAATATAAATCATACATACTTGTTCATCAAAATTGATGATTAAGAATTTGCTTTATTTTTCTGTCATTATTCTCTGTTAGTCATCAGCAGCCGGAGGAGTCAAGCACCCATCAGGAGCAGGGAGACTGAAGTTAGAGTTCTTATGATTTATTTATCTTTCTGACTGTGTAGTTACAAGAAATTCCAAGATGTGTGCGTGAGCACTGCCTCGACGGAATGTGACTTCTCAACTCTTTCCAAGTATGGTGACCACACCTTGAGAGTCAGAGCTGAATTTGCAGATGAGCACTCAGACTGGGTAAACATCACCTTCTGTCCTGTGGACGACAGTAAGCCATTTTGTTTCCCATTTTGTTGGAATGTTGTCATGTTGCCTTGGTTTTTTGTACATTGGTTGGTCCATCAACAGGAATTCTCTGAGTGCCCACCAGTGGAGGGCCTCGTACAAGGAGCTTAGTGAATATAACAGAGAGGGCTGTGGCCTTAAAGGTGTTCTTGGGAGAAACAAGAAAGGACAAGCATATCATCAGGAAAATAATTAAATGTAAATTTAGTAGCTTCAGTGCCTTACGGGTATACATGAGTTGGGGCCAAGCACTGTTCATGAGAAGGACTGGAGAAATTCGTGTGGTAAATTTGCTGGGAGCAAAGGACAAAGGACAAAAGGGAGGGGTACAGCTGATGGCACATGGGTTGGGTCAGGGTGACTGGTAGGCATTGAAAAGAATGTCCCCAGGTTAGACCTGGAGGGTTATAGGGACCCACCAGAGGTCCTTAGATGAACATATTTAAAATATCCAATTGCAAACTGATTAAACCACCATATAGCAATTGAGAGAGGAAGGAGGATTGGGGGTTACAAGAACCTGATGAGCAAAACTCAGTACAGCCCTCCAAGGAGGAGGTAGAGAGAAGCACTAAAATAATTGTCCCTATGTGGGAAGGGGTCCTTGTGCCAGCCCTCTGCTCTGCACCCCCACGGCTCCTGCAATCACATCCTCCCTGGGAGAGAATGAGGCTAGGAGGTCCTTCTTCCCTTCCTAATACTGTTCCAAGCTTGGGCAAAAGCCTCTTATTTCTGGAATCAGAAATGATCAGAGGTATATTATCTTTTCCAAAGGTGCCATTATAAAAACCAAGGAAAAAAAAAGCACAAAAAAATACAGTTTCACAGTAGTCAAGTACAGGTTTCTGCTCCTATAATTGCTGACTGACTTACCATGTCCTAACTGGTTCCAATCCTATTTTAGATCCCATGTATGAATGTTCAGAAACTGAGGTTCGAAATGGTTAAGCAGCTTGTGGGAAGGTCTCACAGGCAATGAGTGCAGAGCGGGGACTCAGACCCAGGCTCCTGTGTCCGTGCTCTTACAGCCATTGCCTGTATTGGACATGCGCCTCCTGGAGTTGATGTACTTTAGTGATAGGAAAGTGCTTTGAGATGTCATGCAGGACCTATTTATACTTGCTTTGGAAACATAGCTAACAGGTTTTCTAATCTGATTTTCAGACCAGCATATTAGAATGGTATAAGTAGGCCCTTTAGCAGCCCTGAAAATGTAGCAGCAGGCAGAGAAAAATTCAGGACGTAACTCAAAACAGCACGGTTGCCCAGAACCATTTATTAACCAGTCTGTGGTTATTACTGAGCACCGTTGTGCCAGGCACATTCTGAGTGCTGAAGCTACAACAGGGAACAAGAGCAAGCCCCTGCCCTCACGCAGCATATATTCTAATAAGGAGGACAGATAATAAACAGGACAGGTTGTGACTGGCGCTCAAGAAAACTAAAGCAAGGTGATAGGATGGAAAGTGATGGAAGCTGCTTTTACGTGGGGTGGTGAGATACAGTCTCTCTGAGGAGTTGAGACATTTGAACAGAGACCCAAACAAAGTGAAGACGCCAGACACCTGAATAGCAAAAGCACATACAGGAGGAGAACAGCTTTAGACTTTGCTGGAAAAATACATATGGTTCATCATATATGTTAGATGTTTAAGGGCAGCCACTAAAAATAATGGAAATATCAACTATAGCTTCCAGCCTAGCAAAGGAAATAAATTTCAAGCCAATAGAAAACAGAACATAAAAATAAAAAAGAGAGGCGGGGAAGAACCCAAAGCAATAAAATAAAAATTTTAAAAGCAGTCTTTACAGAAAACACAAAATGATGTATAGTCAGAATTCCAAATATATCAGAAATCACAATAAACACAAATGAACTATACTTCATTAATAAAAACAAAAGTTATCAGATTTTTTTTAAAGAAACAAAATCCATTAGCCGGGCATGGTGGCGCATGCCTGTAGTCCCAGCTACTTGGGAGGCTGAGGCAGAAGGATCGCTTGAGCCCAGGAGTTTGAGGTTGCTGTGAGCTAGGCTGACACGATGGCACTCTAGCCCAGGCAACAGAGTGAGACTCTGTCTCAAAAAAAAAAAAAAAAAGAAAGAAAAGAAACATAATCCAACTGTCCTCCTTAGCCATATCAGTCGATGTTGTAGCAGTGGTTTATCAGAGAGCAGTGGACTAATTATTCTGCACGGCTATGAAAAATTAATGGTGAAATGAAGTTTGCAAAATGTGATTTTTGATTGTCATTTTGCTTTGTTCTCACACTTAGCTGTTATTGGACCTCCTGGAATGCAAGTAGAAATGCTTGCTGATTCTTTACATATGCGTTTCTCAGCCCCCCAAATTGAGAATGAACCTGAGACATGGACCCTGAAGAATATTTATAACTCGTGGGTTTATAACGTGCAATATTGGAAAAATGGTACAGATGAAAAGGTAAGTGTGGCTAATCGAATTCCACATGGAAGCTCACATGTTCTTTGCTTAAGTTTTGGGCCGAGAACGTGACAATAAAGAGAGAAGGCCAGGAGGCTACCCAGGCAGGGTCTGGCAAGGTGACAACACCTTATGGTCCAGGGCCTGATCCTCTGAGAGCCAGAAGCTTCCCAGACTGAAGGGTGACTGGTACCTCTGGCTCAAGCTTCCCAGCCCCCCAGGGAAGTGCGCAGAGCAGACTTTCGGGGTGAAGTCTGCACAGTGAGAACAGACCTTTCTCCCCCTGAAGGGAAGTCGCAGGAGCAGGCAGAGCTGAGTCAGAGTTGGCTGTGGGAACTTGGGGTCAGGTGGAATGACCGCAGTCTCATGGCATCAACCCCTGTTTCCCACACTTCCCATAGATTAGACAAGTCCGCAGTCGAGGCAGCCCCACCCCTAGACACTGCATGGACAGTGTCACGTTTTACCTTTTCTGATCTCAGTTTTCTCTGTTGCTCTCTTCTTCAGGGGACAAGTCCTTTAAAAACATGGGCTTGGAGTCAAAAGACCTGGTTGAAATATTGCCCCTGCCGCCATGTGGCTCTGGTCACGTTCTTGACCTTAGCTTCCGCAGGTCTGCAAAAGGAGTATAATAAAATATGGATAAAAACCTACTTCATAAGATTGTTGGGGAATTTAATGACAATCATGAAAACATAAACTTGTCCCATGGAACGTTATATTTGGCCCACACATGAGGTTTCCCTCCCCTTCTGTAGACATGTTAAGGCAATTTTCATGCTTCCTTGGTCAAGTTTTATTCTTTGTGTTTCTGAGATGAATGCCATTCATGGTCCTGAACTAACCTACATATATGTTATGTAAGTTATGTCCCATATAAGTTATCTCTTCCACATTAAATATTGATTTTATCACTTAATTCTCAATGAGTTTGGGAAGAGGGGATCACCCATATTTATTGTCTCAGGAATGATGTAATTAAATTTATATATGTACTACATAGCCCAAAACTCAAGTTAATTTTAATCCGTTCCTGCTGCTATAACAAAATACCACAGATGGGGTAATTTATAAATAATAGGAATTTATTTCTCACAGTTCTGGAGGCTGGGAAGTCCAAGATCAAGGTGCCAACAGATTCGGTGTCTGCTGAGTGCTGGCTCCCTCTGCTTCCAAGACAGTGGAAGGCAAAGGGCCAAGGGGTGAACAGCTCCCTTGTCCTGCTTTTATGAGATCTCTAATCCCCTTAGTCACTTCCTAAACGCCCCTCTTCTTAATGCTATCACATTGATGATTAAGTTTCAACATTTGGATTTTGGGAGGACGCATAATCATAATCACTTATTAAATGCAGGTGTCTCTGCTAAACCCTGGGGTAGGAAGATAAGAGCAGACCACTCCCCTCCAGGGGTTAGTAGCAGACTCCAGTTAAAGCTCCAGGCCAGTGTGATGGCTCACATCTGTAATCCCAACACCCTGGGAGGCTGAGGCGGGAGGATCACTGAAGACCAGGAATTTGAATCCAGCCTAGGTAACATAGCGAGACCCCATCTGTACAAAAATGAAGAAATCAGCCAGGCATAGTGGCGTGCATGTATAGTCCCAGCTACTCCAGAGGCTGAGGCAGGAGGATCACTTTAGCCCAGGAGTTTGAGGGTCCAGTGAGCTATGATGCCACTGCTCTCCAGCCCAGGCAACAGATTGAGACCCTGTCTCAAAAAAAAAAAAAAAAAAAAATCCAGTTCCATAGTCACTATGGCTGAGTGCCTCCTGCGGCAAGTGTGAAACGCAAATGCCGTTTTATATTTAGCTTCTTATCCCGAACACACCCAGCACAGGCATCTGGTTGCACATTTTTCCTCTCACTTGAGCCCAGTTGTGTGGCAGCCTTCAGAGTGTGGAAAGACCACCTGCTGCCTGGCCTTTCATGGGTGGCTGCAATTCACCATTAAAGGCCCCCTTCTAGAACACAACTTCTCCTGGGCCGGTGCCAGGTTTGGTCCCTAAACGAATAGCATGAAGGGCTTTTGGAAATTCTTCCGTCTTATTGGGAGAAAGTGAGAAGATAAAACCAGAAGTCCCCCAGAAGTGAAAAAGCCCCAGAGGGGTTTGAGGACGGGGTGCCTTCCCGACTGTGTCAACACCTTGCCTGCTTGCAGGGGCCTCTGAGCTTCGTCTTTGAAAAAATTGCACTGTGCGGTTTTAGAGGCATTAGGCCTTTAATAAAATGGTGTTTGCATTTCACACTTGCCGCAGGAGGCACTCAGCCATAGTGACTATGGAACTGGGTTTTTGTTTTTTTTTTTTTTGAGACAGGGTCTCAATCTGTTGCCTGGGCTGGAGAGCAGTGGCATCATCACAGCTCACTGCAGCCTTGAACTCCTAGGCTCAAACGATGCTCCTGCCTCATTCTAGAAATGAAAGCCAGGTGTTTTCGTGGGTTTTTTGTGTGTTTGTTTTTTTGGATTGGTTTGGTTTTGGTTTTTTAATTTACTTATTAGAAGTTACACCATACTCTTCATATATTCTAGCATATAATCCTAGCACTCTTCATATATTCAGCATACCTAATCCAATTATTGACCTCCACACGCTTACCTTCTCACACAATGAGAGATATAGACAAGCTGTCAACAACTCCAACCCGAAAAGAAAAATAAGCAATTACTAAAGTCCAAAAAGAGTCTGTGCTCACTTTGTATACCTATTAATTCTCTTTATTTTGCCGGGAACGATTTTGAATTCTCAAATTCAGAAATCCATCATTGATTACGGTATCTTACAGGCAGATTAAACTAAGATGAGTCGGTGCTGCCACCCCCAGAGCAGAGGCAGGCTGTGGTGTGTGCCCTCAAGGTGAGGGCGGGCGTGTGGGGCACACAAGTGGAGAAGTGAGTCGGGAGAAGCCCGGGCAGCCAGGGTTCGAAACGTGCTCTTAACTTAGAAAGAAAATCACATGGAGTCTTCCTGTATGTGACCGGTGTATTCATTTGCTAGGGATACTATGACAACATAGCACAGACTGGGAGGCTTAAGCAGTAGAAATTTATTGTCTAACAAGTCTAGAGGTTGAAAGTCCAAGATCAAGGTGTCCGCAGGGCCACACTCCTTCTGAAGGTGCCAGGGCTGGATTTGTTCCGTGCCTTCTCTAGTTCCGGTGGTTGCTGACATTCTCTGTGTTCTCTGGCTTGTGAAAACATCACCCCAATCTCTGCCTTCACCTTCACATGGCATTCCTCCTGTGTGCCTGTGTCCAAATTTCTCCTTTTAATAAGGCCACCAGTCCTTGGATTAGGAACCCACCATAATAACCTCATTTGAACGTGAGGGGTAAAGACCCTCTCTCCAAATAAGGTCACATTCACAAGTAGCCAGGGTTTGGGCTCCGACATGTGAATTTTTATGTGACACGGGGTCAACCCATTAAAACGGATTTATCTTCTTTAAAAAAAGAAATGGGAATGGTTTGTGTGTCATTTAAGCTAGAGAATTCGGGAAATGAGACGGTTTGTCATCATCACAGTCAGTCCCTTGCCGAGCCCCTTAGCGTGGTGTCATGGTCCCCTGAAATGAACTGGGAAGAGCGCCTGCTACCTGCTCCTCCCTATTTTAAATGTGAAGCAGAGATTATAACTGGTAAGTGTAAGAAAAAAAAAAAAAAGCCGATGTCCCTTCACTGCTGAGCCATGTTCTTATTTTTGTCTCCAATCCTAGTTCCACATTACTCCTCACTATGACTTCGAGGTCCTCAGAAACCTGGAGCCATGGACAATATACTGTGTTCAAGTTCAAGGGTTTCTTCCCGATAGGAACAAAACTGGCCAGTGGAGTGAGCCTGTCTGTGAGCAGACCACGGAGGACGGTGAGTCGTGAGGTCGCAGCCTGGGGCTCTGCCTGCCCTGAGTGTTGTCAGCAGCTCTGCAGACTTTAGGACCGGAAGGCTCCTTAGACACCATTGCCTCCTGCCCTGACCCCAACCCAGTTCGCAAAAATGTATCACCCTGGCCTGGTCTCCCGGCCCAGGTTGATGGGCTTCATGCCAGGAAGGGGCCACTCCCTTCTGAGGCAGCTCAGAACCTCCGATCAGAGGAACTGATGGGAACCTTTTCTGCCTGCTGGGCTGAGGTCTGTGTCCAGGTGCCGCCCTACACTGTGCCATTCTGCCCTCCCAGCCTGCCTGCAGCGAGGCCCGTCGGTCCTCCTAAGACCGCCTCGCACCCTGCCACCCCTTCCCCGGAGTCTTTGCTTCCCAGGCTGAGCTCCTGCAGACACCTGCCAGGCAGGGAGAGCCTGGAAACCTCACAGCTGTCCTCAGCTGGTGCTACTTGTTTCAGAGCCCCTTGTAAAATAAAAAAATAGGACCTGAACACAGTCCTTCACATACGATGTGAACTGTGGTGTCTAGCAGAGTGCCACCACACTTGTGTTTCCTAAAAGAAGCAGGCAGAGGGAGGGAGGGAAGGGGAGAAAGAGACAGAGAAGAAGGTACCAGTTGGCCTGGACACTGATTATTTCTGTGCACAGAAAGTAACTTGCTGCTACCGAGTAAGGTTCATTCTCCTGGCCCCCTTATCCCCAGATGCACAGGCTTTGCTCATGAGGGCTGTGCTGGTTGGCAGGGGGTGGGCACGGGGAGGATAGAAGGGACCTGGGGCCAAACAAAGGGAGCTGGGACCATAGATAACCAGGGTGACATCCTGGATTCTGTCAGAGATAAAGCGGGACATTAGTTAGAACAGTAAAAACATTTTATTCAATAATGACTGAGTAGAGAGGGGGCGCAAGAGGGGACGTGAGCAGAGACAGGGAAGTGAAAAAATTACAAAAACTGGGTAGGAAGTTGGTCAATCCATTAGGCCACCTGTGTCTGGAAAGGCATTAATCAAGGTTAGGCTTCTACCCCTGCCCAGAGATGGGGAGACGGAGGCTCTGTCCTTCCTGATAACGTCAAAGGACTGGCTCTCTGTCCTTGCGAGGGACACTCCCTGGTTGTAGGAGATGCATGTATGTCTCAGAAGCACAGAGGAAGGATTCACAGCTGTAAGCCCTTTCTAGAAAATGCTCTCAGAAAGAGAGGTCAGGGGCCTATCATCCGGTGTTGGCAAGAACAAATGTTAAATTCTTTAGGCAGCCTTGAGTTTTTCTAGACGGGAACCCAAGGAGGGCTGTCATCCCAGGGATGCGGCCTCAGGCTGCTAGAAGCCAGGCTGGAGTTGGGACAGATCTCTCAGTGCAGGGGTTTTGAGGGAGGCACTCATGCCAATGTGTAGTTATCGGTACCAAACGCGGTGCTGCCTGCGTTAACTTGGGCTCGGGGCCGAGGGGAGTCCGTCGGCTGCTTCAGGGCAGAAGTGGGAGGCTTATTGCTGCCCTGCAAGTAGATAAAGTGCATGAGAATCCTTGCTTATTCTGTTTGTGTATGTCAGGAATAATGTCAGGAATAATGCCAGAAACCAGACTCTGAGGAAGATAGGAAGGGGCGGAACTCTCTGCAAACCTCTGGCCCTCCAGCCAGTCCCTGTGTTTCTGAGACATCCTCCAAGGTGCACGCATGGCCCTGTTTGCAGGGATTGCCACTGGGCTGTGATGGTTAACGTGGCCTTGGGATCACTGTGACCCAAGCTGGGATAAGAACATGACACACGATGTTTTCCCTGGCAGACACGATCCCCTCCTGGCTGGTCGCCATCATCCTCATCGCGTCTGTCTTTGTGGTCTTCCTGGTGCTCCTCGGCTGTTTCGCTCTGCTGTGGTGTGTTTACAAGAAGATGAAGTACGCTTTCTCCGCTGGGAACTCCCTTCCACAGCACCTGAAAGAGGTGGGTGGGATGGAGGGAGATGCAGGTTTGTAAACTCTGATTGGAAAGAGTTTTTTTTTAAGTCAGGGGCTCCTGATTCCAGACAACACGTTTTCCGGGAGAATGAGGCACGTCTCGCATGCTGGTCCTTTCTTTTGAGCCCATTTTAGAGCAGCCTGGGGTCGAGGAGCATCTGTAAGGAAGGAGGCAGAGGTTTATACCAGAAGCCGTCCCTGCAACCTGGACGTTGCTCCTTCTCCACTTTCGCTGCCAAAGACCCACGTCCTTGGCGGGTGGAGACGACGGTTCTGGGGCAGGAAGGGAAAAAGCAGAGGTCAGGGCAGAGAAGAGAAAGAGAAAGACTCCAGGCCAAGTGCCAGCACATAGCCAGAGGGAGAGAATGGGAGGAGGGAGAGGTGCGTTTTCAGTTTTAGAATATCCAAGAGAGATTGAAATTCTGGGGTGCGTATCCTAGACTTTAGAAAGGCTATTTTTAAAAGGTTTAGGAAAAAGAAAGGATGAACCTGGCTGATGACTATAGGATGGAAGAGGCCCTAAGCAATGAAATTCTGGATATACACTGACGCTTGAAACTATGCCAAGTCCAGACCCAAAAAACGATCTGTCTTTGGTCTCATTTACTAGGAAACAGACTCTGAGACGGAGATTTACATTCGAAAAGCTTAATGGGATCCAGGCACAGTGATGCCGCCTGTAGTCCCAGCTACTCGGAAGGCTGAGGCAGGAGGATCGTTTGAGCTCAGGAGTTCGAGGCCAGTCTGGGCAACATACTGAGATCCCATCTCTAAAAAAAATTTTTTTTTTTTTTATTTCAGCATAAAAAAAATGTTTAATTAAAAAAAAATTTTTCAGAAAGGCTTAAAGGAAAGCACCCTTGGGAATAATACCTCTAAGGGAGTGAAGGTAGCAGGATGGGGCAGAGAGAAGGCTGAGCTGTCATGCAGCCACAACGGAGGCCTCAGCCAATCCCATGGGGGCTTGCAAGTTGGGGTGGCCCTTTAGAGATGTCCCAAGCTGAGGCAAAAGGGGTGGGCCTGTGAACCTCACATGGACCATGGCCTGGGTGTGGGCTACCCCCAGGAAGGGAACCTAACCCCAGTGTGGCATGAGACATCAGCGGCCTGTGTTCCTGCCAGATAGGAGGGTGAGTGCCTCATACCTGGAGGGACAGCTGGGTGGCACATCACAGCATCTACTACAGTCCACCCCTTGTACCCCTGTGATCCACTGGGAGGAGCTCCTCTGGGATTTGAGTTGATCTCTTTCTGGGGGAAGGTTACAAGAGGAAGATTAGGGAAACAAACTCCAGCGCCCACCGTTGCAGCTGGCCTCTGGGCCACAGGTAACATTTGTGGTCAGTTTCCTCCACTGTCCTGTCAACAGTCCCCTCTCTCCTCTCCGTGACTAGTCTCTGCTGGCACAGGCTGCCGACCTGATGTGGCGACCCAGCCCCGTCCCTAGAGGACCGAGCCTTGGGCGCCAGGCCTGTCTCAGGCAATGGCCACTGTGCTTGTCCATCTGCCATCAGACTTGGGCAGGGGAGTACCCGGGGACGCCCCAGGGGCTCAGCTGGGCATCTACCATGGAGCAGCAGCCTCACCTCCTCTGTGGTCACTATGGTGCCTCCTTCCTCGCCTGCTGGTCTCTTGGATGAGGAGGTGGCAGCCGTGGGCCTCGTACTGTGTCCCCTGGTGGGAAAGCATCCACCCTGGGAACCCTCCAGACCAGGGGTCAGCAGACTTTTACTTAAAGTGCCAGATAGAAAAGATTTCAAGTTCTGCAGGCCAAGAGATAAAATTGAAATTATGTACATTTACATAACCCTTTAAATGTCATCATTTCGAAAATCGAAAACCATTCTTGCCTTGTGGGCTGCAGTTTGCTGCCCCCTGCTGGAGACTCACGGAAGCCAATCTCATGGGCGGGGGCACGGCAAGGGGTGGGGGGGCACCACTTTCCCAAGCAGGTCACGGGAGTGAGGGTGACCAGGGCCCTCCTGCACTCATGCATTCTGCCTGTTGGGGACACAGCACCCCGTAATGGCTGTGGATTCTGAGTGCACACCAGGTGCTGGAGGACGATGCCCTGTCCTCACTGGGTGTCATCTCTAAGCTGGCGTCTCGCCTGCACTGTCGACAGGCTGCTCCATTGTCCTCCCAGGCTGGCAGCTGCTGGGCAGTACCATGCGTGATACGACTCAGGGTCCCAAAGTCATGTGCCCACTCCTGGCCGCCTTTGCTGTCAATGGGGCCCTTGGTCTGACATGATGTTTTATGGGGTCTGTATTAGTTTGTTAGGGCTTCCGTAACACAGTTCCACAAACTGGGTGTCTTAAACGGCAGAAGTGTATTGTCTCACAGTTCTGGAGGCCGGAAGTCCGGGATCAAGGAACCCCCAGGGTTGGCTCCTCCCAGGGGCTCTGCCTGTCGGGGCTGTCACGCGGCAGCAGGACATTTTGGTTTGCACCCACCTACTGTGCTGACCTCCCTATGGAACAGGGTTGGCCTTTTCCTCCTTCACCTGGTCATAATGACCCATCCCCGTGTGGCCGTGGCGTGAGCAGACACAGAGACTGGCGTGACAGGTAGGGAGCGTGGGAGCCTGAGCCACCTGCGTGTGGGTGACGTGCACCCTCTGGCCCCGTCTTAGGACCTGCTGGGTCTGGCAGGCCTCCTGCTGGTCACTTCTGGGCAGTGTGATCACCTGTGTCCCATGGCCAGAGGCTCTGCCAGGTCCCCATAGCACTCCAGGAACTGATTGCCAAACAGGGTGTAATTATCCCCTGCAGGCGGCCCAGCCTGGCCCCAGGACCTTGTGTCTGGGTGGTGATTCTCTTGGGATCCGCTGTAAACGCCGCCCAGGCCCAGCGTCTTTCCCACCGCAGACACTCCAGAGATCTGTTCGTTAGCATGTTGTTTAGGTGATGCGCCAGTCTCAAGGCGGGGTGGGCTGCTTGCCCCATAGCCCGTACCTTCTGCAGGGCTGCTTTCTGCTCGGGACCCCCCCTCAGAGCCACAGCCTTCTGTGTCACTCGGCAAACACACCGGAGCAGTCTTCCTTCGTGGGGCCACGTGGCCTCCAGAACCCAAACTGGCCCGCAATGCACCGGGTGAGGCACAATAATCAGTTCTTTAAAGGGGATGTCCTGGCAAGCCCCACTCCATGGGACCCCTCAAACGTCACTGACGTGGCAGGTCCCTGAACCCCCACAGGGCGAGTGTCCCACCCTCCCCAGTGCACGTGCCTTACCGACGCCTTGCCACTTCTTGCACCTCTGGTCCTATTAACGTATTCCAACCGGTCGGCTGATACAGGCCACCTCTGGGAAGGACACGGAACCTTGGCCAAGGCAACTGCCTTGTGTGAAGGGCACCGCCTAGAAAGCACCTCAGCTGTGAGCCATTTCGGCTGCTGGCACTCGTGGAAGCTGGGGGGACAAGTGCCCCAACATGAAGGGGATGTGGGCAGCACAGCATCCACTGTGGATAGAAGTGGCCACACAACCACAGGGAAGTGTTTCAGAGCAGCTAGAACCTTCTAAAAAAGAGTGCCAGCAAGACTGCAGCACCAGGGTGAGCTGAGAATCCTCTAGAATGAACTGCAAATTTTCTGTGAGCTTTTGAGAAGCCACAGCTGCAGCAGGAAGAACAAAGAGGGCCGGGCCCTCCGCTCTGGGCAGAAGGTGTTTTGTTAACTGAGAACCAAGAGGAAGCAAAACTGTTCACCTGCTGTTTTTGCTTCTGGCTTCACCATCAAAGAGACTGGTCAGACCAGACAGCACAGACAAACAAACAGTAAGGGGCCTGTTGGCAGAGCTCTTGCCTCCCAGGCTAGAAGATTTTGCAGGCTTGACTGAAGCCAGCCCCTGTAATAGCTGAGAAACAAGGCGGGGCTGGGGAAGGAGGTCAGGAAGCGCGAGTGAGGCACCAGGTGACTACAGAGCAGTCTGGGGTCCTTACGTCACCAGTTCTTCAGTTTGACTCAGAATATATAGAATCTATTCACCACACCCCACAGAATCGTTTAGAATTTAGAGAGATTTGCTGGGGATGGAGACTTTGAGTTGGAAAAGCAACAGGGAGGTTTATCCCACACTGACCTCTTGAGCTGGTTGTGTGTGTGTGTGTGTGTCTCGCATCAGGAGACTCAGCTGATATTTACATCCTTTGGGGTTTAGTGCATCTTCCTGTGTTCTCTCCTCTCCCCCAGTTGTAGGAGAATGCAGGGTAGCTTCCAGTCCATTCTCATGAGTCCGCTGGATCTGAGATGTAAAGAGGTTCCCCTTCCCCAGGTTCCTCGCTGGCCCAGCAGAGATGTGGACATTGTCCCCCTTGCCCCATCCCCTCTCCTCCATCAGCTGCTCAAGACGCAGGAGGGGAAGTCCTGACAGGTCCACGCCAGAAGGTAGTGCAGCTGCCCTCAGCTTCAGTGAAGCCACAGCACGAGGCTGAATGTGGAAAATATACCAAGAAGAGTTCCGTCTGGAGGGGAGGGGTTCACAATGCAAAGCTTTAAGGAATGTTTCTCCATCTAATCGTGAAGATTAAGGGCACTGGTGAACCTAGGAGGATAAAGAATGGAGAAGGAGCAACCAGCAGAGATTTCAGGAAATGTGTACCGGCATCTGCATTGTTCAAAGCGCTGGAGGGACAGAGACGATTGACGTCTGGTCCCTGCCCGTACCTAGCCGCATCTGTGGGATAGACACACTGAGAAGTCAGTGGCCGTCAGATGTACTGAGGCAGCAGCGTCCGGTAGAACGTACCACGAGCCACATTTGCTAGTAGCCACATTTTTACAAAGTCAAAAGGAACAGGTGAAATTAATAATATATTTCCTGTAACCCAGTATATCTAGAATACCATCATTTCAACATATAATCAATATTTTTTATCAAAAAATGATTGAGATGGTTTACATTCTCTTTTTCATACCAAGTCTTTGAAATCTGGTATGTATGTCACACTTAGAGCACTTACGGACTCAAACTAGCTACATTTCAAGTGGTGGGTAGCCGCACGTGGCTCGTGGCCACCGTGCTGGACGTGCAGCGTTAAGGGCTGAAACCGAGGGGCACATGGAATGCTGAGGAACACCACAGAGGGCCCCTAAGTCAGCCAAGGTCGCCTGGGAGGTGCTCTTTGTTATCCCGGGAGGCATTTATCCAGGGCCTGCCACGTCGCTGCTTCGTGGAGGAGATGACACCCAAGCTGTGTCAGCGCCACAGCTTCACGCTCAGGCTGAAAAATCTCCCTCCTGGTCTAAAAGAGGAACTATCAGATGGTGACTTGTGATCACTTAGCAAGTGAGTTGCATATTCATTGTCACTTTTTTTTTAATTGTGGCAAAATACACATAAAAGTTAACACCTCAACCATTTCTAAGAGTACAGTTCAGTGGCATTAAGTACATTCACATGGTTGCGCAGCCACCACCATCTGTCTCCAGAACTGGTTTCATCTTCCAAAACTGAAAGTGTCTGTCCGTTAAACAATAAACCCCCTGTTCCCCTTCCCCCATCCCCGGGCAAGCACTACGCTACTGTCTGTGTCGGTGAATTCAGCTATTCCGGGTCCCTCATGTAAGCAGAATCATCATGCGGTATGTGTTATTTTGTGACTGGCTTATGTCACCAAGCATAGTATCTTTAAAGTTCGTCCGTGTGATAGTATGTGTCAGAATGTCCTTCATTTTTAAGGCTGAATAATACTCCACTGTGTGTCTAGACCACATACTGCTCGTCCATTCCTCTGTGGACGGACACTCGGGTTGCTTCCGGCCTTTTGGTTACTGTGAATACGCCGCTGTGAACATGCATGTGCAAATGTCTCTTCAACACTCTGCCTTCGGTTCTTCTGGGTGTATACGCAAGAGTGGAATTGCGAGGTCATATGATAATTGCATTTTTAATTTTTTGAGGAACTGTCACTGTCATATTTTTAAGATAACATTTTGCAGCCAGGGGAACTGTTAAAAAAAAAAAAACCTTCGTAAGCCCAGAAAAAGAAATGGGAAAATTTGATGATTAACTGTCCTTTTTTTCTGTCCCACAGTTTTTGGGCCACCCTCATCATAGTCACAGCACACTTCTGTTTTTCTCCTTCCCACCCTCTGATGAGAATGAAGTCTTTGACAAACTGAGTGTCATCGCGGAAGACTCTGAAAGCAGCAAGCAGAACCCCGGCGCCGGCTGCAGCCTCAGGACACCCTCTGAGCGGGAACCCTAGAGCTCGTCAGCCAGGCACAGAGCCCCCTGCTTCTCACATCTGCCTCAGCCAGTGATCAGAGCGACAAACACGGTCCGAGACCCCCTGAGCAAACCCCAAATCTAGAACTCCTAGACCCCGCACTGCGGAAACGACTGAGGAGCTAGACTGTAAGGGCTCACTTGGCAAGAACACTCCACCTCGGGAACTCACTTTTTTATTAAAGGTTTTAACCATCTTTTTTAAAAAGTTGGCCACTGAGAGTGTAATTTTCAGCCTGTTAAGCTCACTAAAATAGGACTACTTTTTCATAGTGAGAAGTGGAAGTATTAAAATGAGGAATAAAAATGGAGATACTTGGCATCCAGGAGCAGGTATTTAAAAAAAAAAAATGGAGATGCTGTAAAATTCTACCAGACTGATCTGAAAAACAACCGCAGTCCGAAGTGGAGAGCACAGTGCTGTACGGAACACAGACTTTTCGGATTCTCTGGAATACTTTGACTGGATTTATTTTTCTACCTATGTATGTTTTATATACTACTGGTGCTCTGTTAAAGTTTTACTCTCTGTTGACTCTGTATGTGTTAATGATGCTAGATGTGTGTAATTATTAGGTACTGAACAAAGCTCTGGTTTGCTGTTTTCATGTCCATTCATTCAACAGGTACCTCCTGGTCCCTGCCTGTTACCAGCCAGGCACTGGCTAGGCACCAGGTCCCAAAGTCGTCTGGGAACCCTCAGTCTAAGAAGCTGCAAGGAATAGAAGGGCCCTGAGCTTTGCATTCCAACTCGGATGCTTACTAGGCTGTGACCTCTAATTTTCTTCATCTGTGTGTGGGGATGAAAAGACCAAAATGTTTGCGACATGACATAAAAAATGCCCAGCGCAATGCCAGCACAAAATAGGCAGCTACTCTTACAAGCAATATAATCTCATGGGTACGGCTTTACCTCCACAAACACTGGCCAGCAACAAACGACCCTTCCTCTGGGCCAGATGGCCCAATGAAATGGAACCTCCAAAGACCCCAACATAGGAAAAACATTTTGTTGAAATCATTTGACCTTTTTAAAGGGAAGCATCATGGGAGGAAAAAAATCAGAAGTTTGTTGGGGCCTGGGCGCGGTGGCTCACGCCTGTAATCCTAACACTCTGGGAGGCCAAGGTGGGAGGATCACTTGAGCTCAGGAGTTCGAGATCAGAGACCAGCCTGAGTAAGAGTGAGACCCCATCTCTACTAAAAATAGAAAAAATTAGCCGAGCATGGTGGCGTGTACCTATAGTCCCAGCTACTCAGGAGGCTGAGGCAGGAGGATTACGTGAGCCTAGGAGTTTGAAGTTGCTGTGAGCTAGGCTGATGCCATGGCCCTCTAGTCCAGGCAACAGAGCGAGACTGTTGCAAAAAAAAAAAAAAAAAAAGTTTGTTGGGACTTCCTTATGTTCATTTTACAGTTCAGTATTTTAAAATTATTTTCAGTGACATCTTGTGAGCGAACGATCATATTTTCAGTTCTCAGTGCCCCTGAAGGTCTAACTCTGGTCTGGGGCTAGTCTTACGATAAGAGAAATTCTCTTTCCCAATTAAGCTCTTCCTTCCTAAATGTGGGGGTTCTTCGGAGAGCTGTCCTAAGTTCTACATCCTGTGGATACCTCTGGTTTGGGAGAGAAGAAAAGGAGCTACCCCATCCTTAACCCCATCCCGCAGGGGACACTGGCGTTCTTCCTGCCCGCCTTGCATCTGAATCTCCTTCATACGGTTGAGGGATCTGCCACCTTACAAGTGTGAACCCCTCTGCCTTGTGAGGGGCTCAAAATGCTCATTTTCCTAGCCCCCCTTCCTGCTAAGCTCTAGGGCCCCACTTTGAGGAAGAAGATGGGGGCCAGCGCAGAGGCAGGTGGTCCGGTAGAAGCGTCCAGTGGCCTGGAGGGTGGGGTGGCTCAGCAACTGCAGCAGTGACATTCCCACCAGACCAGGTCTGATTGGGACGTGGTTCCTGCCTATGTCCCCCAAAAGCTGTTTCTCCAACCCTTCCAGAGATTCTGTAAGCTGCTCAATATCATATTAACAAACTTCTTTTTCGCTTGTATCAGCCAGAGTCCGTTTCTAACGTTTGCAGCTAAAACCCTGAGCTGGCTGCTCAGTGACCAAGGACTCTCCTCCCATTGAGAAATGCACCGCTGTCTGCTCCCCTCCACTCTGGGCACACCCCACCCAGCTCCCGCTGCTGTGGGAGTTTGTTGGGTGCCGAAAACAAGTCCTCCACACGTTCACCATCCTAACAACTCAGTTTCTCTCTTGACCAGCTCTTCACTGATGAAAACTTCTGGTGCCTCTGGTGTGATAAACGGTAAGGGGATGCCTCTGTCATCTGGCCTGCGAGATTCCCGCACTGTTAGTGACAGAAAAGGACAGACTTCCATTTCCCACGACGTGGCCAACCAGGCAGCCTCCCTGGCCCTCAGGTAAAACCAACTAAAATGCTGGATGTAGTCTCAAAAGCACCTTCCCAAAGGTTTCCTAGCAAGCAAGCAAGGAATATTCAGAGGCCAAAAACTAGAGAAATTAATCAAGTGCTGCCTTTCACCTTGAGGGCATTTGGTAAACTGAGATTTCAGCCCCTCACGGGAGGCAGAAGACAGAGACCCGGTATCACCCGAGGTACGGCCTAAAAGGGACCTCCCCGCAAACCTGAAATCCCACAGAGCTACCCACTCTGAGTAAGGGTGAACTAGGAATAAATGAATCTCCACCCCTCCCCTTTATTATCAGTTCCCTAGGGCCGCCATAACAAAGTTCCGCAATCTTGGTGACTTAGAGCAACAGAAACTTATTCTCTCCCAGTTTGGGATTCCAGAAGTCTGAACTCAGTTGCACTGGGCTGAAATCAAGATTTTAAAGGCCATCTGGAGGCCCTGAGGAGAATCCATGCCTTGCCTCTTCCAAATGCCACCTTCCCTTGCCTTGTGCCATGTCAGCCCAATCTCTGCGTCCACGTTCACATCACTTTCTCCTGCTGGGTGCAATATCCCTCTGATTCTCTCTTACAAGGACACTCGTTACATTTAAAGATAATTCATGATCATCTCCCCATCTCAAGATTGTTAATTTAATCACATTTGCAGAGACACTTTTTCCAAACAAGGCCATATTCACTGGTGCCAGGGATTAGGATCTGACATTAGTATCTTTGGGAGTCATTACTCAGGCTAGACATACACACGCCAGGGACTTCAGGAAACCGTTTTGGTTTTGGTTTTGGTTTTGCTTTCTGAATGAAGGAGAAAAATCCATCCTTCCTAAGAAATCAGAACCTCAAACTGGTCCTCATGCAGGTGGTCCAACAAAACTTCAGGGTTGACTGTTAGAGGTTACAAAACCCAAAAGGAAAGCTTGGTGAGCAGCAGCCAGCAGAAATAACAGGCAACTGAGCCAGACCCGCAAAGACCAGATACTGATAAAACTTTTCAGAGAATACACAACAAGGATGTTTAGTAGATCTGAGAAAGTGTCAGAAGGGATCGATAGTATGAGGAAAACACATGACACTGAATCATGCAGCTTTGCTGTGGTAACAATGAACCCCAAACCTCAGTCCCTTTTTACAACAAAGGTTTGTGGGTCAACTGTGGGTCTGTTCTAATCTCAGTGACTTCCTCATTCCTGGAAAGACATGCCAGAAGGCAAAAGAAATGCCAATTCCTGCGATGGTTCTTAGAGCTCCTGCTTAGACATGGAGCATGTCACTTCTGTCCACATTTCTTTGGCCAAAGACGTGGCCAAGTCCAATGTGAGTAGAGTGGGGAAGTGGGCATACTCCTCCCGAGAAAGAACTACAAGTCACATGGCAAGTCTTTTACAGCAAAGGGAGAGAATATCTGGGAGCAATAATTACAATCTACTCAATCTACCATCTATCTACTAAGAGATGATAGAAAGGATTTTGGAGAGGGGAGCAAATACCCCTAGAAATGAAAAATATAATAATGGAAGTTTAAAAAGTCAAAGGACAGGCTTAACAGCAGATTAGAGACAGCTGAAGGTAGAATCAGTGAACTGAGCAGAAAAGGAAGTGGATTAGTTGGAGTTCTCCAGAGAAACAGAACCGAGAGGACACGTGTATAGAAAGAGATTTATTTTAAAGAATTGGCTCATGCAATTGTGGAGGTTGGCAAGTCCAAAATCTGCAGGGCAGACCAATAGGCTGGAGACCCAGGGAAGAGCCGATGTTTCAGCTGGAGTCCAACAGCAGTCTGGAGGCAAAATTAACTTCCTCAAGGGATCTCAGTCTTTTTTTCTCTTAAGGCCTTCATCTGATTGGATGAGACCCACCTAAAAAAAAAAAAAGAAACCTTCACAGCAACATCAAGACTAGTGTTTAACCAAATATCAGTATCACAACCTGGATAAGTTGACACATAAAATTAACCATCACGGGGAGGGTAGATCTGTGATTGCTTTTTTGAAAATTTTTTTAATGTTTGCTGCATGTATATAAAAATATTAATACAATTGATTTTTATAATTGTATCCTAAAATCTTGTTAAACTTACTTAGTACTTTTTTGTGGAATCTTTAGAATTTTCTATGCACACAATTATGTTGTCTGAATAAAGACCATTTTACTTGTTTTAAAAAAAGTGATTATCCACAGCATAATACAGAGAAACAAAAGAAGAGAAAATATGAGTGGTTGGGATATAAGATATGAAGGATAGAGTGAGATGATCTATTACACATCTAATCAGAGTCCCAGAAGGACAGCTGAGGAAGAATGCAGCAAAAGCAATATTTGAATATTTGAAATGATAATGGCTGATGAAAGACACTAGGCTATCAATTTAGGAATCCCAACGAATCTCAAGCTGGACAGATAAGAAGAAATCACATCAGAGTGAAACTGAAGAATGCCAAAAACAGAGAAGGCAGATTACCTTCAAAGGAAAACAATTAAACTTAGAGATGATTTCTCAGCAGTAACAGAAGCCATAAAG